AATAAAATCCCCAGGATTGCAAAGAAAGCCAAATACATTGAAATATGAGTATCAAAAATTTCTTTTTAAAACCATGGTCACCTAGACCAGATTAAGAACCCCTAGACTAGAAAATCTCTGGGGCTCCTTTCATCTCTAAATCTATGGTCCTATGATTTCTCTACTGCACCCCTGAGAGACACAGGTAATGAAATGAATTTTGATCATTTTCCCAGCTTAGGTTGTCAGTCATCTTGGGTGAATGAGCAAAAGGGCTATCTGCAAGCCTGGTTCTGTGGAAAGTGAATTTATATTACCTGTCACCTAACCTTGAACTTGCATTCAACTCACACAATATCAGTGTTACTCTAGGGACTAACAGCTGGACTTTTGTTGAAAGATCAAAGGTCTCGGAGAGATAGATTCCAGAGTAAACCAGCCCCAGTGACAGCTGTGCCTGCATCCCTCTGAGGACATAAAGAAGAGATTCAAATGTCAATTAAATATGGAATAGGAGGGCTCTGTGTAGGAAAAAGAGAAACAAAAAATAGAGAATCGTAGAATCTCAGGGTTAAAAGAGAACTCCTCAGAAGTCATGGCATCCTTGAACACAGCTCCCCCAATGGTGTCCCCAAAAGGTAGTCATTGTAGTGCTGGGAGTACCCAACAGGTAGTCTTTGTAGTGTTGCACGTATCCAACAGGTAGTCATTGTAGTGTTGGGGGTGCCCAATAGTAGCCAGTCTTTGATTGAGGACTTCCAATGAGAGAGGAACCCACTCTCTTCCAAGGCAGCCCATTCCACTTTTGTGATAGCTTGAAATTATTTGGAAGTTCTTCCTTTCATTAAGCTGAAATTGACTATTTGGCAACTTTCAACCCTTTCCTGGCTCTGCCCCCCAAGACCAAGCAGGATCAATGTAATCTCTCTTCCACATGACAACCCTTCAGACATTTGAGGACAAGTATCATGTGCCCCTTAGGTTTTCTCTTCTCCAGGTGAACTATCCCCAATTCCATCAGCTAATGCTCATGTCACATGGCCTTTGTTGAGACCTTTCACTATCCCAGTTGCCCAGTTCTCTAGCTTATCGATATCCTTTACAACATGTGGTTCTCAGAATTGCAATAATAGTCCAGATGTAGTCTGACCAGGGCAGAATATAGAGGGTCTATAAGTTCCCTCATTCTGGATGCTCCAATGCCATTAATGAGCCCTTGGACATCACTAACTGAGAGGTAACAATAAAGACTTGGACTTGGAGTCAGACCTGGAGATAAATGCCCAGACAATGCTCCAAGATATAAGTTGCAGGATATAGGCAGTTCTCACTTTATATAAATTTGCATTATGCAAATTTGACCTTGCACAAAGAATTCTGAAAGAAATCCTCTTTCCTAAAAACCATCTATGTTAACTTTACTGTATGATACTATGTTCTCTCTCTCTCCTTCCCTCCCTCTCTCCCTCTTCCTCCCTTCCTCCCTCCCCTTCTCTCTCTCTCTCTCTCTCTCTCTCTCTCTCTCTCTCTCTCTCTCTCTCTCTCTCTCTCTCTCTCTCTCTCTCTCTCTCCCCCCCCCCCCTCTTTTTCCCCCTCTCTCTCTCTATTCTAACCCCTCTGCTCAGGGCTTTGCAGCCTCTCACTCCCTACCAAAAAACAGTAATAATAAACCCTCCAAGTGAAAGCAGAAGGACAGATGAGCTGAGTGACTGCCGCCACATGGGCTGCCGGATGAGGACTTGGCTCGAGACCTTAGGAGCTGAGTGGAGAGCTTTGCCTTGCTCCGACCACCCCCCAAGCAGGTCCAGCCCCAGGATCTGGTTGAGTTTGGTACTGTATCTTTTCCCACCCCACACGAAGGTCCTCTCCTGCCTGCATACATGTCCTGTCCCCATGTTTCTGCCACCCCTCCTCCCACCCTCTAGGTGTTCTTTTTCTCTATTCTGGCCATGGTTGGGCCTTGCCCTGTGTGTTCCCCCACTCCTGCTCTCCCTTCTCTGTATCTTTGAAGATAGTGCCCTGTGCCTGTCCGAGGCAATTAGCATTATGTAAAAGTCACTTTATTTAGAAGTCTGCAGAATGGTCCACTTATGTAAAGGGAGAACTGTCTATAGTTGTTGATCTGCATCTGTAGAAGGACCGATGAAGTCAAGGGTGTGGATAAAAAGATATTAATTTATTTAAAAAGCATATTATTGACTTCTAATAATAATAATAATTCATATACAGTAGTGCCTTAAAGTTTGCAAAACGTTTTGCAAGTATTATTTCATTTTATCTTCACAATGACTCTGAGAAGTAGGGGCTATTATTAGGACAATAAGGTAATATAAAAATAGATTATGAAATCTCTTTACAGATAAGGAAACTGAGGCAGACAGAGGTTAAGTGAGTTGCTTAGAGTCACACAGCTAATAAGTGTCTGAGGTGGAAATTAAACTCAGTTCTCCCTGACTCTAGGGCTAGCACTCTGGCCACTGTACCATCTAGATGCCATATCTGTTTATTTATTATCTGAAATAGAAAAATCTGTAATACAAAGCTTCTGAGTATAATGATTTATTTGCAAGGCTAGCAGTTGCCAATAAATCAGGACCACCGACTCTTCAGTAGTCAGAGACAACTGACAGATTTACAGAGCTCATTATCACAATAGAAAAAGGGGAATTACAAGTCAGAGAAATCTTGAGAGTTTTTCAATAGCACAAGGCAGGTTACTTGACTTGTGCTTAGGCTAGGTGCCTCCTGAAGCAAATTGAGTGTATTTTAGTTTTTGTTGTTCGGATGTTTCAGTCATGGCCAACACTTTTGTGACCCCATTTGGGGTTTTCTTGGCAAAGATGCTGGAGTGGTATCCACACCCAGAGAAAGAAATATGGAGTCTGAACACAGATGGAAGCATAATATTTGCTCTCCTTTTCCTTTGTTGTTTTGTTTTATTGCTTCATTCTAGTGGTTCCTCCCATTAGTTCTAATTGTTCTTTACATCATGACTAATGGGAAAATGTGCTTAATATGAATGTATATGTAGAGCCTCTATCAGATGGTACACCATCTTGGGGAGGGGGAGAGAAGTGAAAGGAGGAGAAAATTTAAAACTCAAAATCTTATGGAAGTGAATGTTGAAAGCTAAAATTAAATTAATTAATTAATTTAAAAAAAAAACACACCAAAGATACTGGAGTGGTTTGCCGTTTCGTTCTCTGGTGGATCCATTTTGTCAGGCAGTTAGAGGTTAAGTGACTTGCCCAGGGTCACGCAGCTGGGAAGTATCTGAGGCTTTATTTTGGTATACCATTGTCAATATTTGCAGTGTGGGTGTGTCAAGCAGGTGTGACAACTATTAAATTTCATATTTTCTATCAGATTGGGACCTATGTCTATCATCCTGCCTGTCAAAGTGAGATTGCCTTAGAAATCTTGTTCTGTAGCCAGACATTTGTGGTTAGGAGTGAATTTCATGATGCATGTGGATTAACTAATATTATTTCTGCAGCTGCTGGAAAGAGGAACTTACTTCAAGGAGCTAAAGAAATGAGGAACTTATCCACTTAAACTAAAAAAAAGGAATTTAGACTTTAGGAAAAAAATCATAAAATATAGCTTAATGCAGTGACTATTCCTACAAAGATATATATGTATTCTAAATTATCCACTAATGAGTAATAACTAATAATAAAACCTTATTAATCTATTAATTTCTTCATATCATAGTGTAGACTCCTATTGAGCTTGCAGTCCACTCATACCCCCAGCTCTCTTTCCCAAGAACAATTGTCTAACATGCTTGCTGACACGACGGATAGAATGCTGGGCCTGGAGTCAGGGAGACTTATCTTCAGGGGGACAAATCCAGCCTCAGACACTTACTAGCTGGGTGACCCTAGACAAGTCACTTCCCCCTGCTTGCCTCAGTTTCCTCATCTGTAAAATGAGCTGGAGAAGGAAATGACAAACCACTCCAGTATCTTTGCCAAGAAAACCCCAGACAAGGTCCTGAAGAGTCAAAACCAACTGAAAATGACTGAACGACAACAAATCTCCACATTTTCTAGAATTAACCTATTAGGAGACACGTTGGCAAACTAAGGCCCAGCCAGATGGAAAGATCATGATATTGCACATATGTCAAATTGCTTACCCTTTTAGGAAGAGGGGAGAGGAGAAGGAAGGGAGGGAGGGAGAAAATTGGGAGCTCAAAATTTTGTAAAGATGAATGTGAAAAATTGACTTTACATACAGTTGGAAAAAATAAGATACTATTATAGTAAAGAAAGAAATCATGACATGAGAAAACTCAAAAAACTTGTTGTAGAAGGAAGGATGTTGTTATAAAAGGAGATGATTAGCTTAGACAAGAGGAGACTTGGGGAAAGATTTTCACTCTTCCCAAACATTTAGAGAGCTGTAGCACGGAAAAGGTATTAGATTTGTTCTGATTGGGGCAGCTAGGTGGCGCAGTGGATAGAGCACTGGCCCTGGATTCAGGAGACCTGAGTTCAAATTCAGCCTCAGACACATAACACTTACTAGCTGTGTGACCCTGGGCAAGTCACTTTGCTTAGCCAAAAAATAAGAAAAGATTTGCTCTGATTGGTTTTGAGGAGTAAAAGGCAGGAGTATGAATGGAAGTTCTTGGGACCCAGATTTTGACTGAAATTCCCAATACTCAGGGCATTCCAAAAAATGGAGTGGAGTGAGTTCCCCATCACTAGAGGTATTCAAGCAGAGGCTACATGAACCCTTGTGCGGGATGGTCCAGAAGACATTGATCCAGGTGTCACAGAGCTGGACTAGATGTCCTCTACAATCTCTTCCAGCTCTGTGATTCTAAACAAATTTATAGCGACATGACCTTTGAAAACCTTGTATGTTTCTGCTCCCCACTGGTTGGATCTGAGAAATTCAGCATCTTTTCCCCAACCTGAGAATAGTTACCCAAACTTCAGTAAGCCTCAGAGCAGGACAGGCCCGGGCTGAGGCTGATCACCCCATTTCTGACTTTGTGTTGACTCCCACAGATCACTGCCCTCCAAAAAGGATACAGTAACATGTTGTGTCAGACCCTCACTGAGAGAAACATGGAGATTGCTAATCTGAAAGCCGAAGGGGAGAATTTAAAGAAAGACAAAGCGATGAGCTCAGGTAAATTTGCTCTGAGGCCAAGGAGACGGGAGCAGGAGGAGGAGGAGGAGGGTAGAAGAGACCAGGTTGTGCCAACTTGGTGGCATGTCTCACCACTGCAGTCACAGACTGAGAGGGGAGAGAACTGTGACAAGGGTAAGGCAACTAGGTCTTTCCCCAAGGGCAGCAAAATTTGAAGGTGATTGATAGTACTTCTACCCTAGAAGGTCAAAACAACTGAGTTTAGAACCTAGTTAGCAAGAATAATTAGTCAAACTAGCGAAGTGCTAAAAGATCATTTCTTTCTTGTCCCACCCCCTGTAATTCACCCAAGCCATGTTGGCTCCTCCATAATTTGGTCCAGCTTGGCTCCCTTATCCAGCGGCATCCTCTCCAGAAGCACATATAGTCCAATGTCCTAGAGTCTCACTCTCTTGTACCATGAGCCCACTCTAGAGACCCCACCCCCATCCCCCAGGGCGTTATGTTCCAAGGTTCAAGTTCTCTCCCCTTCTCAAATAAATTTGTCTTAAGACAAATTTTGAGGAAGCCTTTTGTGCAATTTTCCCTAGACCTGCTTCTCAGTGATTGCTCCAGGCATAAGAAGTAGTAGTGACAGCTCTAATGAACACATGCCGATAGGACCTCTCCTTTATGCCTCGATGTCACTGGCTACAACGATAAATGGACAGGGTCATTAGATTAGACAGTCAGTGCAGGTGCTGTGTGTATGATGGCAGCTAATGGACACATTTTCACTTCACACAGCTGAAGGTAGTACACCTCTATCCACACAGATTGCAGGTGCCTATAACTTAATGAACCTCAAATGTGAGAAATATAGGGAACCAGCAATCCCTATAAATGATGAGAAATCTGGGAGGCACAGTCTTCTCCACCACCCCTGACAAAGAATGTCTTCTCCCAAATGCAGGTCCCTGGCATCTCCCATGTGGGTATTTCTAAGTGGCATATAGTTAGTGCTACATAAATGCCATCTATCAGCAGTCCTCGAACAGAAAACTCCCCAGGTAGCATGGGTCATTTGTTGTCACAAACCCTGGAGGCTCAGGAAATCTCACAAACTAGAAAAATAGAGCTGCGGGGGCCCATAAACACAGGCTTGTATTGCTGGTATAGACTGACAGGGGCATCTGAACATGTAGCAATCAGTTAACTTTGAGGACACCCATGCATGGACAGAATGGGCTATGCCTTTAAAACTACCAGACTGGAACAAACACTCTCTCTCTCTCTCTCTTCTCTGTCCTCACTTCTTCTTCCTTCTTCCTTCTTCTTCCTCTCTCTCTCCTCATCTCTTCTCTCTCCTCTCATTTGTCTTTTTCCTTTCTTCTTCTTCTTCCTCCTCCTCCTCCTCCTTCTTCTTCCTCTCTCTGTCTCTTTTTCTCCTCATCTCTTCTCTGTCCTCTCATTCCTCTTCTTTTTCTTCTCTTCTTCTTCTTCCTCCTCTTTCCCCTCTTCCTTCTTCTCCTCCTCCTCCTCCTCCTTCTTCTTCTTCCTCTCTCTGTCTCTTTTCTCCTCATCTCTTCTCTGTCCTCTCATTCCTCTTCTCTTCTTCTCTTCTTCTTCTTCCTCCTCTTCCCCTCTTCCTTCTTCTCCTTCTCCTCCTCCTCCTCCTCCTCCTCCTCCTCCTCCTCCTCCTCCTCCTCCTTCTTCTTCTTCTTTCTTCTTCTTCTTCTTCTCTTCTCTTCTTCTTTTCTTCTTCTTCTTCCTTCTTCTTTTCTCTCTTCTTCTTCTCTCTCTTCCTCTTCTCCTCTGTCTCTCTTTTCTCCTCATCTCTTCTCTTCCTCTCTTCCTCTTCTTTTTCTTCTCTTCTTCTTCTTCTCCTCTCTCTCCTCCCTCTTCCTTCTTCTTTTCTTCTTCTTCTTCCTCTCTTCCTTCTCTCTTCCTCTTTCTCCTCTCTCTCTTTCTGTCCTCTCTTTCCTCTTCTTTTTTCTTCTCTTCTTCTTCTTTTTTCTTCTTCTTCTTCTTCTTCTTCTTCTTCTTCTTCTTCTCTCTCTCTCTCTCTCTCTCTCTCTCTCTCTCTCTCTCTCTCTCTCTCTCTCTCTCTCTCTCTCTCTCTCTCTCTCTCTTCCCCCTCCCCACATGTGGGTGTTTTAATCTTAGGTTATCTGGGCATTCACCAAAGCTCTGTTGTACATACATGAGCTTACTGAGCCTCACAACAGCCCTGTTAGATAGATAAGGCAGATACCCCCATTTTAGGGATGAAGAAACAGAGGCTTAGAGTGCTAAAGTAACTTGCCCATGTTTAAAAAACTAGTGTCAGAGATGTGATTTCAACCCACGTCCTCTAGGGAAGTAGCTTGCCTAAGGTTACATCAAGAGTTAGTAAAAGAGGCAGTACTAGAACCCAGGTCTCCTAACTCCTAGACTGTTTCTTCTACAAAGTAAGCAAGGCTGCTTCTACTTTAAATTTTTAGGGTTCGTGGATTTCCCCCTTTTCCTATGGGGCTGGCCCTCCCCTACTATATAAAAGGTTAGGTGAACACTGTCTTGGCAGAAGGAATCTCTGGTATATGTGTAACACTATTAGGTGCCCAAGCTAATTTCCAAGGTATAAATACTCACACTGAAAATTTAACAATTGGCTCTCAAAAGCCACTATGAGCTGGTTCCAGTACACCACTGATGTGCGAGTGGAGAGGAGACAGATGGGAGAGATGTTGTAGAATCAACACTTGGTAACTTGTCATGTAACTTAATGCTTTGAGTCCTTCTTCTGTCTTAAGTCTCCCCCAGAGCTTGGCACGGTGACCTGGACATAGACAGGTGATTAAGAAATAGCTGTTGGGTCAACTGTTGAGTTCTTCCTAACCCAAGTGCCCTTGATCCTTTTCTGGCTAGATTCCAGCCCACCCTTTGACTCTAAGTCAGAAATACCCCCTTTCAAATTCCCTGATTCAATGACACCTCCTTTGTCCCCTTCCCTTATTTATACCAAACAAAAAAGAATTCTTTGTTCACCCTCTTCCCTGTTGCCTACTCACAGCCACCTGCTCAACTCCCCTCAGCTGTCCTTGTGGCTTCAACTGTCTCACCACTTAAACTGCTTCTGCAGATCCAGGGTAAAAAAAGAATTCCTACACTGGTAGCTGTTTCCATGTTAGGCTGCTAGATGGTGCAGTTAATAGAGCTCTAGCCAGGAGTCATGAAGCTGTTCATTTGTTTCATCATATCCAACTCTCTGTGACCCATTTGGAGTTTTCTTGGCAGAGATACCACCATTTCCTTCTCCAGCTTGATGAAGAACTGAGACATGACCAGGGTCACACAGCTAATAAGTGTTTGAGGTCAGATTTGAGAAGTCTTCCTGATTCATGCCTGGCACCTAACTACCCCCCTGGAGTCACAAAGACTTGAGTTCAAATTCAGCTTCAGATACTTAACTAGCTGTATAACCTTGGGCAAGTCACTTAACCTCTGTTTGCCTCAATTTACTTAACTGTAAAATGGGGATAATCCTACCACCTACTTTATAGGGTTGTTGGGAATATCAAGTGAGATAAAATTTGTAAAGCCAGGACTTGGCACGTAGTAGGTACTGCATCAATGTATCAGTATTACTATGTAGCAGTAATAGCAGTAGTAGCAGCAGCAGCAGCAGCAGCAGCAGCAGCAGCAGCAGTAGTAGTACTAGTGGTAGTAGTAGTAGTGGTGGTGGTGGTAGTAGTAGTAGTAGTAGTAGTAGTAGTAGTAGCAGTAGCAGTAGTAGCAGTGTGGAAAGAGTTCTAGATCTGGAATGAAAGAATCTAGGTTCAAATCTTGGCTCTCCACCCTATATAATTTCAGGAAAGTGTTTGACTTCCCCAAACCTCAATTTCCTCATTTATAAAATTCACTGGTTGGACTAAATGATCTCTCAGGTCCTTCCTGGTACTACATCTATGTTTCTATGAAATATCACCTATAACCCTAAACTGAGATGTGTTCAAAAAGGAAAAAATAAATAAAAGTATGTTGAAAAATATCATGGATTATAAGCCACCTTAAGTGGTTCATTTTACAAACCTAATTTGGGAAGAAAGTGAAATTTACATGTAAACCAATAGGACTTCCTTTCAAGGTCTTAAATTAAGGCTTTTTTTTGTTTGTTTATTTGTTCACAGCACTGCTCCCCACCCTCATCCCCTTTAGAGAGTCCCCAAGCAGTGGGGGAGCATGGTAGGGAAAGCAAGGGATTTGGGGTGGGACGACCTGGGCTTCAATCATAGCTCTCTCTTTTTCCTTTGTTCTGACCTATGGTATTGGGACCTCCCTTTACCAATGCAGAACAGCAACTGCTCTGTAGTTAATAATCTTAAGAGTGTTTCCTGGGATACTGAGAGGTTAAATGAGTTGCCAAGAGTGATTTAGCCAGTAAATAGTAAAGGCAGAACTTGAACCCAGGTCTTCCTGACTCTGAGGCCAGCTTTTTATCCACTACACCTCAATGCCACCTCACTGAGTGATAATTAAAGAATTGAGTAAATCACTTCCTTTCCCTGGATATCAGTTTCCTTCCATATTTCTCTGGGCCTCAGTTTCCTCTTATATAAAATGAGAAAACAGGTAAAATGATCTGATAAGAATTGATTTAAAAAAATCTCTAAGATCCCACAAAGCCCAAAATCTAGTGATTTAGAATAATTAGAATTTACCAATAAAGTTTGTCTCTCTGTGCCCCTTTCCCCTTCTGTCTGCCCACCACCCATATTTCTTCCTTTGTTTAATTACATCTTGATTGAATATTTAATGTCAGTAAATAAATCAAGAAGCACCTGTTATGTGTCAGCACTGGGGTTACAAAGACAAAAGTGAAACAGTCCTTGCCCTCAAGGGGCTTCCATTCTACATGGGCACAGATAAATATGTAAAACTTGTAGAACAGGCCTGTGACTTCATAAGGGAGCTCCCGAGGAGGAGAGTCCCTTTACCAATGCAGATTAGCACCTGTTTCTGCAATTAATAATCCTACTGACTGTAGCCTGGGACATGTAGAGGGATTAAGTGTCCAGAGTCACACGATCAGTCTGCATCAGAGGCAGGTCTTGAACCTAGGCCTTTCTGGATCCTCCATCCACCATATCACTTAGTCTCTCAAATATTACCTCATCTCAATGAGGTGAGGAGACAATGTTTCCAAAGTGCTTAGCCTGGCACATAGTAGGTGCTTAATAAATGCTTATTCCCTGTTCCTTTCCATGCACCCCTTTGGCAGTCTGATGAAGTCTATATATCCTTTCTCAGCATCATGTTTTTTAAATACATAAAAAAAAATGCACAGGATCGCAAAGGAAGCCAGTTTTATTAAATGTTTAAATGTTCACAGATGCCAGATTAAGAACTGATTAAGGTTACCAGTTTCTGGGCAGATGCCAAGATGTATTAGTAGAGGGAGTTTCTCTACTAGGAGTCACAGGTCTAGAGGACCACCAATCACAAAGTACTCAATATCACTGCATGCCCTCTCCTAGGCTCTATTGCCCTCTATTACTCAGAGAACAAAACAAATAGGACAGATGTTCTTTATATTACTAATCTAGTTTCCACAGGTACTGTTAGAACATCTGGTCAGATGTAGGGACTAGGGGGTCATATCTCTGAAAGGGGACTTAGTGTAGCCAAGCTAGACTTGGAGGAGTCATTCTGGGCAGAAGTTCCTGAGGTCATCCTCAGAGAGCCCAAATCAGGCCCTAAAGAGCTTCTAAGTGGCCTTTGCCTAGGTTTGGGAGAGACAGATGCTTGAAGTCCGCACCCGTCCCCACCGTACACCTAGCTGCTGACAGCTCAGCTGCTGCCCTCTTTGCCAGAGAATCCTGGCTCTGTAGGAGCATCTCTGTGCCCTGGAGGGCCATCCCAAAGCCTCCTGAGACACGGGGAGGTCATGGACAATGTCATGGTCTCAACATTTGTATTCCCAAGGCTAGAAAGTACCAAGGTAGCAACCGAACCCCCACCCAAGGGCAAATGCTTCAGGACTTCTAGTATTGTAAAGAAGCAAAGGCAGAATGCCCTTCTAAATCATCTTAACCTTATCATGAGCTGAGGATCTGTGCCTTGAAAGATAATAAAACAATAACAACAACAATAATAATAACATTTATCTAGCACTTACTATGTGCCAGGCACTGTGCTAAGAGCTTTACAAATATGCTCATTTGATCTTCACAACACTGGGAGGTAGGTGCTATTATCATCCCCATTTTACAGAAGAGGAAACTGAGGCAGATAGCAGTTGAGGGACTTGCCCAGGGTCACACAGCTAGCTAATAAGTTTCCAAGGATGAAATTGAAATCAGGTCTTCAGGACTGTAGGTCTGGCGCTCTATCTGCTCCACTTTATCAGTCTAGGGACCAGTCCCTCCACCAAAGCAGCGTGCAGCCTGTCTATAACTTGGCAAATGAGTATTAGAATCACAGATCTAGACCTAGAAGGGACCTCAGAGGCCATGTGGTTCAATACTCTTATTTTATAAAAGGGGAAAGTGAGGCTCAGCAAGAGAAAATGACTTGTCAAGGTCAGTAAGTGGCCAAGCTGGGATTCAAACCCACATTCTCTGCTGCATATACCCAGGTGAGACTGTACCCTCTCCTTTCCAGCCAAGTGAATGTCTTCTTTATTATTAAGCATCTCCCTGGGAAAGAATTGACCTTGTTCTGGTAAACTGATTTAGAATCAGTTGTCCTTGTGTTGACTTTAACCTCCATCGCTCAGACTGTGACTGATGAAGGCATCTTTGCACTGACTGTCCCCAAATCCCCACCACCTCTTAGAATCCCTTACTTCAAGACTCAGCCCATGGTTCTACTTCTCCATAAAGCCTTTCCTGGCCCTTGGGCCCTCAATCCTAAAACTACCTGGTACTTGTTCTGAATACACTTATTTGTATACCTATTATCTCTCCTAATGGACTGGAAGCTCCCTGAAGGCAGGGGCTATCTAGTTTTGGTCCTTACATGCCCTGCACCTAGCAAAGTGCCTACACACAGGCATTTAATAAATACTTACTGATTGATTGGTGGTGGGGAGGGAATTTGCTATTACTGACTTGGGCAGATGGGATTGGGGAAGCATCTTAGATGAAGGAACATTTGAGCTGGGCTTTCATAGAACTACTGAAATTCATTGTTGAGTGAGACCTTAGCAGCTGGCTAATGGAATCCATATTCAACAAGGATCCCCACTGCCATAACACCTGAGAAGGACTCATTCAGCCTCTGCTTGAAGATATCCAGTAAGGAGAACCCCATATGTCCTAAGATAGCCTATGCCATTAGTTGTTAGAAAAAATCTTCCAACATTTAACCTAAATGTGCTTTTCCACATCTTTTACCTGTTGCTCCTTATCAGATCATCATACATTAACACCTAGAGTTCACTGAGGCTAACCTGTTTTACAGATAAGGAAACTAAGGCACAAAAAAGTTAAGTGACTTCCCCAGGGTCACAGAGCTAGTTAGTGTCTGAAGCAGGATTTGAACCCAGATTCCAGAAAGGGTAGCTGGGAATTCAGTAGGCAAAGGGGAAGAGAAGGAATTCCAGGCATGATGTGAGCTAAAGCACAGAGCTCTCACCTGAAGGTGCTCAGGAGACTGAGAATCATCTGGGTTGGTCATTGCCTAAAGAGAACCAGAAGGAACAATATGAGATAAGATGGGATAAACAGGTTTCATGACAAACATCATAAACCCTAGATCTAGAAGTGGACTTCTTTTTAGAAGTCTTCTAGTCTAATCCCATTTTATAGATGAGGAAACTGAAGCACAAAAAGGTGAAATGTCCAAGTCCACCTAGGGGCTAACTGGCAGAGCCAGAATTTTCTTTTCCCAGGTTGTAGAAGAAACAGGGAGCCCCTGAATGTCTTTGACTGGAGGAATGACATGATCCAGTCTGTACCCAACAAAGACAAACATGGTAATGGTATGAAGGATTGGAGGTGGGTAGACCTGTCAGGAGGCTCTCATAAAGGTCTCGGCCTCTAGGAGGTAGACATGAGGGCCAGGCCTAAAAGGAGAACATTAGGTACTAGGACTCGAGAAAAGATTGAGGAGACATTGGCAGGGCAGAATGCCAGCAGCAACGCTTTGACCTCAACCACTCTCTTTCACAGAGTTGGTGGACAGTTTGCAAAAGGACATCGGATTGAAGGACAGCATGGTCCAAAAACTAAAGCTGGAGGTGGACAGACTGAAGAGCGAAAACCAAGAAAAGGATTATCAGCTTTTGGCCATCACTTCCAGGGTGAATGAATGAATGAATGAATACATGATTGAGTGAATGAATGAATGAAGTGGTGTTATCACTGCCTTTGCTGGGTTGTGGAAAATGTAGCCTGAGCCTGCCAGGGGCAGCACCAGCTCATTCCTTCTTCCTTAAGTATGGAAGTTAAAGTGAGGCAACTTACCCTGATGGATAATTCCCTGAGAACAGAGACTCTTACCTGTGCTCTTCTGCCCCAGGACCTCCTTCATGCCCCAGAACTGGTTCTCCCAAAGCAGATAGCCATTCCCCTTCTGGTTTTACAGGGCAGAGTTTGTTTTTAAATAATTTTGTTTCAAGGAGGGCCTTGAAAGAGGGAACACCAGGCCTGAAGGGCCCTTAGAACCCAGAATGTCATAGGTTGAGGGGCGCTTAGAACAGAGAATGTCAGAGCTGGGATGGCCCTTAGAGCACTCATCTAGTCCAAACCACTCATTTTACAAAGAAGGAAACTAAGACCTGAAAAAGAGAAGGGGATGGCTTGGGGCTAAACAGCCTGTAAGTGGAAGGAAAAAAGATCTGAACCTGGATTTTTCTGACTCTAAACCCCATGCTCTTCCATTGGACCGCACTGCCTCTTGGGCAATGAACAAATCTGTTCAGATTTCAGCACTTGATATGTGGCTTGTTATTTTTCCCATTACTGTTATTTTCCATGCCTCCTTGTCCTTCAACTTCTCCTGAAGTCCTATTCCCATGATCCTTTGTGGTGTGGACTTGACTCTGGGTCCTCCAAGCCTATACCAATGAAATATAGGCCCTACCAAGCTGGAACAGCTTTGAGTATAGACCCAGTGATAGAGTATGGGTCTGTCCTCCAAGCACTAGACCAGCACAAAACAGAGATTCATCACTAGGTGACTCACGTTGACAGTAGGACCTGGGTTCAAATCCTGACTCTTCCACTTACTAGCTGTTTGACGCTGCGTAAGTCACTTAATTAGTGCCTGCCTCAGTTTCACCATCTGTAAAATGGGGATGATAATAGCACCTGTCTTCCAGGGTTGTTGTGAAGATCAAATGATAATATTTATAAAATGCTTAGCACAGTGCCAGGCACATAGTAGGTGCTTCACAAAAATGCTTGTTTCCTTCCTAAATCACCTAATTTCTTCAGTCTTGGTTTCCCCATCTGTAAAATGAGGATTTTTGGACCAGATGACTGCTAAGGTCCCTTCCAGCTCTAAGTTTGTGATACTGTGATCCACAGGTGATACACTTGTGACCGCTAATACAGGTGTACAAGGGAGACATGGAGGGGCCATTAGCTGTGTATACCACCCATGAGATCACCAGCTCTTAAAATGTGGAGGGTGAAAGTATCAATCCTCCCATCTCTCCCCTCCCCCTGAGTTGGGCAGGATGTTTCATTTCCTCTAATCTAGGCTTGCCATTTCCCGGATGAATAAGCTCTGGATGGAGCATGAGTCATGACTTTTTTATTCAGCACCATGGAGAGAGGAGTTGTTCAGTCCTTTCAGTTGTGTCTGACTTTTCATGATCCCATTTGGGATTTTCTTGACAAAGATACTGCAGTGGTTTGCCATTTCCTTCTCTAACTCATTTTACAGATGAGGAAACTAAAGCAAACAGGGTGAGGTGACTTGCCCAGGGTCACACAGCTAGTAAGTGCTTGAGGTCAGATTTGAACTCAGGAAGATGAGTCTTCCTGACTCCAGGCCCAGCACTCTATCTACCATGGCGCCACCTAGCTGCCTCAGAGAAAGGAGTACTCAGTCAATACAGCCTTCTCCCTGCCAGCTCCATAGCAGCCTGTCCTAGAAAGCCCATCTGCTGCCCTTGTGCCCCAGGCAACCTTCCATCCCAGTGTAAACATGCAGAGAAAGCTTCCCTTTGTCCAGGACAAGAAGTTGGCCTGACGGAAGCTGAGTCACAAGATTTACATCTGGAGGAGACTCTCAGAGGCTCACAAGATCACAGAACATGAGAATGAGAAGGAAGCTCAGCTGTCATGGAGTCCAACCCCTCTGCAAAAACAATCCCCATTACAACGTCCCTGATAAATGGTCATCCAATCTCTGAAGGTAGATGTCCAAAGTGATTTACCCAAGGTCACATGGCTAGTAAGTTGGAGAGCCCACCGCATCTCCAAGCAGCCCATTTCACTCTGGGATAGCCCTGATTGTTAAGACTTTTTTTTAAGCCTAAATTACACTCTTTGTAATTGTCCTCTCCCCCCATCTCCACCCTCAATTGCACCTAGATCTGTGCTCTAGGGAAAAACAGCAGAAATTGAATCCTTCCATAGGACTGTCTCCCAAATACCATCATGTCCTCATGAGACCCTAAATCTAGACTGATGGGAACTTCAGAGGTCATCCAGTCCAATCCCCTCTTTTTACAGAGGAGGAAACAAAGGCCCAGAGAGGGGAGACTTTCCTAAGGCCAAGTAGGTAGTAAGTGGAAGATCTGGAATTTGAACATAAGTCCTCCCTCAGGGTCCAAATCCAGTCCACTTCTCCCCTGGGTAGTAGTGCCTGAGACTACATTCAAATCCAGGGACATAGCACACTGCAGTAGAAATGGTAAGCATTTCTATGATGCCCTAAGGTTTACAGAACATTGTATTTATGTTAATTCATTTGATCCTCACTACAATCTTGGGAGGTCAGTACTATTATTATTCCCATTATACAGATGAGGAAACTGAGCTCTAGAGAAGTCAAATGGCATTCCGTAGATTACTCCACTAGTGAATATCTAAGGCAGAGATTGGACGCTCAGGTTCAGACTGAATTTGGAGTCAGAGGAACTGAGTTCAAATCCTAACTCTGCCACAGATAAGTCACATGACCTTGGGGAAGTTGGTTTACCTCTATAGGCCTCAGTTTCCTTATATATGAAATAAACAGGCTGGACTAAATGATGTGGCACAGTAGAACTAGCTTGGGAATTTGAGGACCTGAGTTCATAGAATCATGTAGTTTTAGAAACGAAAGGGTCCTCAGAGGTTTTCGCTGGCCCAGAAAGGTAAAATGATTTGAAATCAGGAGTGTGTTGGTAAATATTTAACAACCAGCTGTTGGGGGGGTTGTAGTATGTTAGGACACATTTTTAAGCTTCATCTGCATTATTCATAGTTTTTCCTATCACTTTCTTAAGTCTAGGTAATTTAAAAAAAGCCAATAAATCAAGCTCTGATTTGTAGCACAAGCTAATTTCCAAGGTATCAGTTGGCTCTTATGAGCCAGGAGGAGCTGACTCTGGCACATTCTAGCTTCAGATCATACAGTCATAGCTTTAAGGCAGGAAGGAAGCTCAGAGGTTCCCTCCAACTCTCTTCATTTACAGATGAAGAAACCAAGGCAGAGAGGAATGAACTAATTTGCCCAAAGTCACCCAGGAACTAAATGGCAGACCTGGGATTAGAACCCAGCTCCTCACAGCCCAACTCCAGGGCTCTCACAGGGGATACCATTCTACCTATTCCTGGAACAGGCAGAACCCCTCTACCTGCCCCTGACGCTTTCTCTCTGTGAGGCTGTGGCCAGGACTCCTTCCACTCGGACACAAGGAGAGGGATGGCAGAGCCCTGTCTACTCTTTATGATGGAAGGGAAACTTTGAGGCCCCAGAATCCACACAAGCAGATTTTTTTCCCTATGTCTCAACTTTCTGGACTTGGGTGAAGAAAGCTGGATGACGAGAGACTCGTGACATTTGTCCAAGTGGGACTGATTTGTCTCCTGCCGCCTGAGCGGAGTGAGGGCTGCGGGGCTTCCTTAGCTAAGCACAAGGGAGCTTTGATTGGCACCATTTGTTTGCTTACAGAATCCTTTCTGGGGGCCAGAGGAGAGAGGAAAAGAGATGTCAAGATCTGTAGCCCTGGAGGGCCTCTCTGGCCTCACACCTTCTTCCTTATTTTCTCTTTTCCACAGTGTGCAAAACTGAAAGGAGACTTGAATAAAGATGAGCTGGAAGCCAGAGAGAAAGAACTAAAGTCATGCAAATCCGTGAGTTGAATAGTGATGGTTCCATCCCTCGGTCAATCAGCATTAACTAAGCACCTACTGTGTGTCGGCATTGAGCTCGTCTGTCAGCAAACGTTTACTGAATGCCTACTATGTTTCACTGTGGTAATCAATCAATAAACATTCATTAAACACTCACTGTGTGCCAAGCACTGTGGTAAGCATTGGGGAATACAAAGAAAGGCAAAAGACGCCCTCAAGGAGCTCACAGTCTAATGGAGGAGACCACATGGAAATGGCTGTGTACAAACAAATTATGTACAAGTATTGGAAATGTACAAATTGGAAGTGATTAACAGAGGGATGGCACTGGAGTTAAGAGGGATCAGGAAAGGCTTCCTGTAGAAGAGGGGATTTTAGTGGGACTTGTAGGAAGCTCATAGGATTGAATGCTGCATGTGACCTCTAGAGTTATGTCACTTGGAGGAAAAGAGCTAACTTGTGACTAAAGTGTTGGGTCAAGTGTCAGGAAGACCTGGGTTCAAATCTTGCCTCAAATGCTGACTGTATGACCCTGGATGAGTCCCTTAACTTCTCCAGGCCTGAGTTTCCTCCTCTGTAAAGTGGGAATGATTTTAACACCTACTTCACAACTGAAGAGTATCCAGAGGAGAGTGATTTGTATGACAAAGGGCCTTAAGACCCTGCCCTCTGAGAACGGGGTTGTTGGGGAAGATGTGAGATTTTGTCTGTTAAACATGTGGCAAAGCCTTGAAGGGCTGGATCAGGGGTGGGGAAGCTGAGTCCTCAAGGCTGTACTTGAGGACCTAGAGGGCCACACATGGCCTTGAGACCACAGGTTCCCCACCCCTGGGCTAGATGAATGTCAGCTGCAAATAGCATTCTTCAAATCTGAAGGAAGTAGGAAATCATGGTTAGTTTGGTATTTTGATTCATTTCCATACTCATTCTTCTGCTTAATTTAATTTAACAAATAACATTTGCTAGTATTAATAGCACCTACTATACACAGGACTCTAGGGTCAGCTCTAGGAATACAGAAATGAAAGACTACCATTCAATTTTCTAAGCTTCAGTCAAGGCCCTGCTATGGACCTCTGGGGTCTGGGCTAGGATCTGGGAGTAGATGAGACAAGACTGAATATGTACGTCAGATGGGGTCTGACCCAAAGAGGCAGTGAAGAGATTATCACCTCTTTATTCATGAAAGTCATGCCTCTCTCTCAAGGTAGTGCCCCCAAGATCTTACCAGCTCAGAGTGCTGGAGTCCTTGGACTTGTTTTTTTTTAAAAAATTGATAATTGCCTTTCAACGTAGCTGGTTTCCTTATCCCTAAGAACACTGTAATCCTACATGTTCTCTTTTCTGCATTTAAAAACATGATTCTGAGAAGGAGTCCATAGGCTTCACCAGACACTGCCTTTAGGGGTCCAGGACACAATAAAAATGTTAAGACCCTCTGAATCATTAGCTTTTTGGGCTTCTATATCATCTTGCTTCACACTGGGACCTCCAAATCTCATTCAGACAACCCACTGCAGAGCCATGCCTTCCCCATCTTATATGTGCTAAATCAATTTTAAGGAACCAAGAATATCATTTTACAATTATTCCTATGACATTTCATCTGATTGAATTCAGCCCAAGTTTATAGTTTGTCAAGATCATTTCAGATCCTGACTCTGTCAAGCAAAGTACTGACTCTCCCTCCCAGTTTTGTGTCATCTATATGCTCAGTAAGAATTCTCTCCATGCCTTTATCCAAGTCCTTGATGGATACTTACTAGCTATATGATTCTGGGCAAGTCGCTTAATCATTATGGCTCTCAGTTTCCTCATCTGTAACATGAAGGCTTTGGATATGATGGTCTGTAAGATCACCTCTAACTCTATGATCTTATAATCCTATGTTAAATGGTGCTAGGTTAAGCATAACCCCTGAAGCTTGCCTCCAGAGACCATCTTCCAACATTACATCATTAATGACTACTCTTTGAGTCCAGTCATTCATCCAGCTTTCAATCTAACTGTATAGTCATAAAGCCCATAGCTCTGCATCTTGGATAGGGACAAAGGAAGGAGTGAGAGGAAAGAACAAGCATTTATTAAGTGCCTATTGTGGACCAGAGTCTGTACTAAGCAATTCACAAATATTATCTCATTTTATCCTCATAATGACCCCAAAAAGTAGGTGGTATTTCACAAGGTCAAAATTATAAATCCCACTTTATAGCTGAAGAAACTGAGGCAGAGAGAAATTAAGTGAGTTGTCCAGTGTCATATAGCTAGGTAAGTGTCTGAAGTGGACTTGAACTCAGGTCTTCCTTACTCCAGGCACAGCATTCTATCCACTGTGCCACCTAGCTGCTTAGGCTTATCCTCCAGCACCAGGATAGCAACAGAGACTTTGTCACAATTCTTCTTCAGCTGATCCTCACATGGGCTAGGTCTCAAGTGCCCTCACGATTTTGCTCACCCTCCTGTACGCACTCATCAGCTTAGCAATGACCCTTCTAAACTGTGATGTGCAGGATAGAACTCAGTACTCACTAGGGCAAAGGACAATGAGACTAAAATCCCCCATGTTTTAGAAACCATATTTTTGTTCATTCAGGCCAAGTCTCTGTGGGGGTCTCCCTCATCAAATTATTGACTTATATGGAGATTATGGTCCACTAAACCACCCTGGTCTTTTTCATGCAAACCTATATTTGTTAGGCTTCCTCCATCTTGCTCTTGAGAAGTTGGCTTTTTGAACACAAGCATAAGACTTTACCTTTACCTCTATTAAACTCCATATTATTTGATTGAGCTCATAATTCCATTCTCTAAAAAGTTTTTGGATCTCTATTCTGTCAAGTAAAATAATTCTTCTTCCCAGCTTCTTGTCGTTGGCAGACTCAATTTCCTTATCCAAGTCACAGATTAAACTGTTGATGAGAACAGGTCCTAAGACACCATCTGGAATGAACTCTTCTGCTTGCACTCTAGAAATCTGTTTGAAAGGCTGTTTCATTCAGCTGAAAGCACGACTCCTAAAGTTGCGTAGCTTATTTTTCCCATCAACAGGACATAAACCAACAGAGAGAGAGGAAAAAATCTATGCATGAGCAGGGCAAAACAAACAAACAAACAAACAAAAAAAAACAACCCAGAAGTACTGTGGAAAGAGCCCTGAATTTGGAATTCCAGAGAATCTGGGCTCAAGTCCTACTTCAGTCTCTTATTACCTGGGGCGTGTTAGGCAAGGCAAGTCATTTCTTAGAGGCTCAGTTTCCCTAACTGTAAAATGAAGGGGGATCTAGATTAGATAACTTCTGAGGCCGTTTTCAGTTCTGAATTTGGGATCCTGTAAATTCATAGCTTGCGGTAATTCCCAGCCTCAACAGAAGAATTGAACCTATTAATCACAAGATCAATAGATTTTAGACTTGGAAGGTGGAAGGTATCAACCAGATTTGGAGGCAGATAATCTAAGTTGGAACCCTGGTTCTGACATGTACTGTCTTTGTGATATTGGGCAAGACAATTCCCTAGACCTCAGTTTCCTCATCTGTAAAATGGGGATAATAATAGCATCTGCCTTCTAGGGTTGGTATGAAGCTCAAAGAGATAATAATTATAAGTGCTTAGCACTATGCTGGGCACATAGTAAGTGCTATCTAAATGTTTTTGTTTTTCAGTCTTTTTTCTGTTGTGTCTGACTCTTTGTGACCCTATTTGGGGTTTTCTTGGCAAAGATACTGAAGTGGTTTGCCATTTCCTTCTTCAACTCATTGTATAGTTGAGGAAACTGAGGCAAACAGGGTTAAGTGACTGATGATGATGATGATGATGAAGAAGAAATGACTTTCCCATGAACAGTTCCCAATTGTCAGAACTGGAATTTGAAGCCAGGTCTTCTGGACTCCAGGCCCAATGCCCTTTCTACTGCACTGAGCCTCCTTCTTTGCTTTGAACATTGCAAAAAAAAAAATCAACCATTGTGAGATGCCATTGCTATCTTCATGACTTCAATAAAACTTTTGGTCTTGAAATGAGGTAATGCAACAAGACTGACTTTCTCCAGTCATGCCCAAGGTGACGTATTAGATGGGCTCAGACTGTACAATGCCTTTAGGTTACAAATAGGAGGACACTTCCGCACTGTGTGAGGTCAAACTTGAAGATGATTTTGTGTTTGCTTGGGTCAAGTCGACAAGCACTTCTGAAATGCTCACTAAGTACCAGGCACTATGCTAAGCAGTGGGGATACAAATGCAAGCAGGAACAAAGTCCCTGACCTCAAGGAGTTTCCATTCTAATGGAAGAAGACAACACTTAAAAGGAAGAGGAGGAGGAGAAACAGAGTAAACTCAAAGTGTTTTCTGGTATCAAGCTGTAAGGTGATTTCATCTCTATGGGATCAAAGAGGAAGATATTTTCTGTGTTGTATAGGGTTAAATTTTAAGAATTTTTTGTGTTGTACAGAGAAAAACCGGAAGACAGAGGTGCTTCCCTTCACTTCCCATTTTCTCATCTCTTTCAGTACATCAAAGACCTGGAACAGCAAATGAAAGTCCTGGGAGAACAGCTCCGAAAAAGTTGCAATGAGCAAAGCCTCATCTCCAAGACACTGAAAGAAAAGAACAAGGTATCTCCTTTCTCCCTTCACTCCATGGAAGCCAAGTTGCCCTCCCCTCTCACCTCATGCCCTCTGCCCAGAATGGAAGGGAGCTGGGGATACAGGCTCCATCGCTGACTCCCCCAGCAGCTCCTTTGTCTGTTGACTAGACTGGGGTTCTCAACCTGTCAGATGGAGGCCATTAAGATGGCCCCTGACCTGTGCTAGAGCGAAGTAGGGATGGAAAAATCCAAGGCCAGGGGCTGGTTTGGAAACAGGGGGTCTTTATAGTCAAGAACTATGGCAGGCTTCAGTTGTTCCCCCATGACTGCAGTCCTCTGGGTTGGTTTCATCTTAGCCTGGGACTGATTCCCTGTTTGGATCTGGACCCAGTATTATGGGAAAACCCTTGTGTGTTATTTCTGTCACCGGGACCTCTTAGACCCATAGTATGGTATGGTATGGTATGGTATGGTATGGTATGGTATGGTATGGTATGGTATGGTATGGTATGGTATAAGTAGGATTAAGCATGAAATGGTAGAGTATGGTATGGTAATCTAGCATATTATGATGTATTGACAGCAAGAGTGCTAGGCCTGGAGTCAGGAAGACTCCTTTTTGTGAGTTTAAATCTTGGCCTCAGACACTTACTAGCTGTGGGATCTTAGGCAAGTCATTTAACCCTGTTTTCCTCAGTTTCCCCATCTGTAAAATGAGTTGGAGAAGGAAATAGCAAACCCCTCCAATATTTTTGCCAAGAAAACCCCAGAGGGGGTCACAGAGAGTCAGACGTGACTGAAAATGTCTGAACAACAACAACATATGATATAGCATGATACAGTTATGGTATGACATAGGACAGTATAGTTAGAGTATGTGTGGTATAGCACAGTACAATTTAATATCATAACATACTTAAAAATTTCTTGAAAATTTCTCTTAAGAATCTTGGCAAACTTACTATGAATTATCCAGCCTTCACAATGTCTCCTCCATATAGATATAAAAATATTATCCTCTATAAAATTTGGGGTAGCTCTGTTTAATCTCTAGTACCCTCCTAGTTCTAACAACTATGTTCTAAATTTCCTTCTAGGTCTGATGTTCTGTGTCTGAAATTCCATCCCAGCTCAAACGTTCTATGTTCTAAAGCCCTCCCAGCTCTGACATTCTAGGTCCTCTAGTCCTTTTCATCTCTCACCTTCTGTTTTATAAAATTCCTTCCAGCTCTATCCATCTACGTTCTAAGGTCCTTCCAGCTCTGACATCCTAGCCTATGTTCCAATGTTTCTTCTAGCTGTAATATCCTGCAAAGAGGACAGACTCTGGAGTCAGAGGACCAAGGGTCAATGTCCACCTCTGATGCCAACTACCTGTGTGACTTAGACAAGTCCCTTCATTTCCTTTAGCCTCATTTTCACATCTGTAAAATAGGGGACTTGGCTTGTGAGGTCCCTTCTTTAGCTCTCGATTCCACGAACCTTTGATTTTCCTTTCCAGCTCTGACATTTTACATTCTAATGCTTCTGCTGGTCTAACGCTCTATGTTCTAAGTTCCCTTGAAGCACTAATGCTCTTTAAATCTGTCATTCTGTAATTCTGAGGTATGCCCCATTATCTCCCCTTTCTGAGATCCAAAGAAGTTCAGTGAATTCACAAAGTAAGTCCGTTGCCAAGCTAGACACCAAATTAAGAAAAATATTTCTTGATCTTTAGAGCAAGAGTGTGAGGTATTATGTGCAAAAATCATTCTACAGCAAGTGTCCTCTATTCAAGCTGCAAAAATAATAATAAAACTAGCTAGGAACCTCATACTTTTTTATGCTAGTCAATGCCCAGTGAGACTTCATGGCATAGTAAATAGTCAAGTCAACCAGAGCATATTAGGCACCTACTGTGTGCCAGGCACTAAGGATACAAAAAGAGGCAAAAGACAGTTCTGTTCTCAAGGAGCCACAATCTAATGGGAGAGACAACATGCAAACAATTACATACAAATAAGATACACACAAAATATATTGGAAATATAATCTCAGAGAGGATAGGTGATCTCAGAAGGAAGGCACTAGAATTAAGGGAGACTGGGAAAGGCTTCTTATGGAAGGTAAGACTTTAGCTGAGGCTTATGAAAGGGAGCCAAGGAAGCTTGGGGACAGAGTGAAGAGAGATAGGGATCTAGTCTCAGTCCAGTTGTCCTGAATTCAAGTCATACCTTGGATGTATACCAGCTATGTGACCCTGGGCAAGTCACTTAACTTGTCAATGCTCTAAAGAAATCTCTAAGACCATAAGTTGAAGAGTAGTTGACTAAGCCAAAGAATAATTGCTGATTTGCATTAGCAGATGAGGGTTCCTTATTAGAATTCCACCCTATCAGTGAAATCATAATTATATGTCAAAATAAATGAATAAAATCTTCATAGAACTCAGGTACTCAAATCTTTGGTGATTTGTCAATTTAAAAGATAACAAGCCAGATTCTAGCAGGGTAAAAGCTCAAGGAATAGTATGAGACTTGAGCTATAGCTCCAGCTCTACCACTGACTTGCTGTGTGACCATGGACAACTTACTGAACCTCTCTGGGCCTCAGTTTCCCTACTTTTAAACTGATTGACCCCAGTGTGTTGTGATGGAAAGATTACTGGATTTGAAATCAGAGGACCTGATTTTGGCAAACTAATTTCCTTTCATGGCTCCCCTCTGTCTTCCTATATTTACTTAGAATGAGAAGGTTGAACTATCAATTGTCTACAGGCTCTCCATCCCGTGATGGATGCCCTTCCAAGGGTTCTGTGGAAGGGTACTGTCCAGAAGCAGCTGCATGGACCAGAGTATGACCAGCAGAGGGCAGCATCACACACTCTCATAGAACACCATTAGCAAGAAGCTTTGGGAACCATTTATTTCAGACTAATGATACAGCTGCTCCAATCTCAGCCTTCTTTTGGCTCATGAGATGGGAGATAACTGAAAACCAAACATGTGAATGTTAAAGCCTACCTTGCTGCCTGGATTGTTTTAGAAGTCATATGTTCTTAGAAATCTAAGAGCACAGGACTTGGTGGAGGTGGGAAGAGCAAAGGAGACCAGAGTTCAAGTCTAAGCTTCACCTTTCCACAAGCTGGGGTGACCTTAAGTCATGGTACCCCTGTGGGCTTCAGTTGCTTTCCCTGTAAAATGGACCACCTGCCCCACAATGGCCACCATTGGGAGAAAAGATCTCCTTAAGCCGTGATAGAAATGGGGCCTGGTGGAAACAATGCTTAGCTTACACTGACTTAGTAAATCATCCAGAATGAAGGCATAGTTAATGATTACCCCAAAGAGGGAATGTTGGGAAGGGGAAGGGCAAGGTCCATTGCCTGGCCCTATTTCTAAAAGGTCATGTTTGTAGGCAACAGAGAAGGAGAGGCTGGGCAAGTTGATAAAATTCTCTGGGCCTCGGTTTCCTTGTCTTTAAAATGAGAAGGGGTCAAATTCAGTGACCTTGGTGTAATGAGATGGGAAGGAACCTAGGTATGGAATCAGAGTACCAGGGTCTAAGAGCCGATCTCTTGTACTTTCTTCCTGTGTGACATTGGGGAAGTTGGTTCCTTTCTCTGGATCTTGGTTTCCTCATATGTAAAATGTAGTGTATGCATCCTCATCTGTGTATATTCACCCATGACCCCGAGAACCTGAGTATTAGAACATCCTTTCATCATTCCAGGCTGAAGAGAAACTGCAGGAAGATTCCAGGAAGAAATTAATTCAGCTTCAAGAGATGGGGTACAGAGAGCGCCTCATTAAAGACAATTTGGACAAAACAGTGTGTCAGGTAGGGAGGGGCCAGGGTACTAGGCATTCACCTGGCGGTGTTAAGTATCGACATTTTTTTGAATATAGACATGCTACAGAACAGCTGCAGAAAAACATTTCTGTGAGAAAGAACAGACCGAAATGAATCATAGATGAGTCATAGCTGAATCATGGAATATCAGAACAAAAAACCTTCAGAACAGAGAATGTTAGACCTGGGAGGGAACTTGGAACACAGAATGTTAGAGCCTGGAGGCAGCATGGTCCAAGTGCAAAAGAGTGTCGTACTTGGGATCAGAGGACCTGGGTTCAAATCTCTGCCCTGCCACTTACTACCTGCATGAATCACCTAGCTTCCCTGATCCTTGATTTCCCCATCTGTAAAATGAGGGGTGAATTAAATGACATCTAACTAAAGTTGCTTCCAACTCTATTGAAAATGTTGGTGCTGGGAGGGACCTCAGAACATAGGATGTCAGAGCTGGAAGGGCCCTCAGAACATAGGATGTCAGAGCTGGAAGGGCCCTTAGAACATAGGATGTCAGAGCTGGAAGGGCCCTTAGAACATAGGATGTCAGAGTTGGGAGGCCCTTTAGAACAGAGATCTCAGAGCTAGAACTAATCTTAGAACATAGAATGTTAGGCTGTAAGGAACTTTAGAGATCATGAAGTCTATCCCCATCCCATTTTACCTATAACCCATGGCTTAGGGTCTCTTTAAGATTTTGGGCTTATAAAGATTGGGTCCAATCCTGATAACTAATTAAAAATAGTAATTTTCTCCTTTGTTTTGTTACTCTCCATATGGAGTTACTCCTGAAAAATCTCCAAATATAGCTCATGTCTAGGTTTCCACAAATGTGAATAAACAGAGTTCCCACATCCTATGTAAGCACTCAAGGTAATAAATGCATATGTGTAGAGGATAATATTTCATCCTTCAGGGGAAAAAATTGCATACAATCCAAAGGATACAACCTCTAAACAGGTACAAAAAATACACAAGGTGCTCAGAAGTAGTCCATAAACTCCCCTCATAAGGGAACAGAACTTGGACTCAATATGAGTGCAAACCCCACAGATTGTCCCTTGTTCCTTTAGAGTTCCCCACGGTCTCTCCCAGATTCATAGTGCTACTACATGGTTTAGAAACTCTCCAGAAGACAAACATGCTTTGAGACTGTTGAGCAAATAGCCTACTCCTCATCCCTTTCTGGTAAAAGCAGGCACAGTTCAGGCTAACATTAATTTCTTAGTTTCAGTCTGGTATTCAGTGTCTTGAGTGTTATATAAGGCCTACATTTCAGAAGAGGCCTTACCCAGCTTCTGGGTGCTGAGGGCAGTAAATAGCCTATTCCAAAAGAAACTTTAAGCTATCTTGAGTGTCTAGGCACTAGTGGGAAGTCTTCTCTGAAAGACAGACCAAGTTGTCTCAGATCCTCTGCCTCTGCGCACCTATGACTGAAGAGACATTTGCATTTCCAGAAACTGGAAGCTAAGTGATTATACCACTTAGTGTGAGGTTTCTCCTGGCTATGTCTCACTTTCTGACATCAGATATAATCACAATCATAATCATAATAACTAGCATTTATGTAATGTCTGATACATGCAAGGCATTGTGATAAGTGCTTTACAATTATTTTCTTATTTGGTCCTCACAACAACCCTGGGAGGTAGGTGCTATTACCATCATTTACAAATGAGGAAACTGAGGGAAACAGAGGTTAAGTGACTTGCCTAGGATCACACAGCTATTAAGTATCTGAGGCTGGATTTGAACTCAGGTTTTCCTGACTCCAGATCCAAGACTCTATTCACTGAGCCAGCTAGCTGCCCCTTTATCTTAGGATGAGGGTCCAGAATGGAAGTAAATAGGAGTTCAGCCAAACCTAAAGGGACCTGAACACCAACTTCTTCTTCTTCCATGACCAGGGTCTTAGAATTATAAGAGGTTTAGTTCTCAAGAAACTAGAGTAAATAGAGGTCCTCTAAGCCTTCTCAGACTCAAGCTTCTGAGGAGCCCAGGCTGCAGAGTGTGTGCTTGGCTGGAGATTCTAAGCCCTTTGGAGCTTTGGACGGTAGATGGCCAGCTCTGAAGAGGACTCAAACCCGTTTTAGATTCCCAAGCCTTAGCACACCTAAGGGACAGGAAAGGCAGTGAGGGGCTTTGCTTCCAGGGTTCCAGAGGTCAAGAGCTGAGTGCCTGAATAGGGGTTGTCTCCCGAGTGTGCCTTATCCTCTCCCATCTTGGGATGATGCTTCAGAGTGGTTGAGGAGTGTCAGTTCAGTCCCAAGAAACCTAATCACCCTAGGGTGGCCCTGGGCCACCAGAGTCTAGGAACCTTAGAAGATCTCAGCGTTCTTGCAGCTGGTGTCAATGATGGCCAACATTAACTTCTTGCTCAGTCATCAAAGGATCCTAAAGGTTGGGTGCCTCCTACCAGCAGCTCTTGAAAGTCCTGTGCTTAGGGAAATGCCCAGTTCTCATCACTCTTACTCCAGTGCTGAAGTAAAATTTCATTCCCTCTTCTATCTCTTCTTGTCCTCTCATCCCTACCCACCTCAGTCTTACTTGTCCCCAATCCTACAGCCCTCTAGACTCTCCTCCATTTTACTCCACCCTTAGAAGTCCTCACTCTACTGTTGATAAATTCCCTTTGGTCCTAGATCTTGCCACTTCTCTCTTTTTCTAATCTCTTAAACTATTGAGATCATATGAGATCAACTTAAGATCAAATAAATATTTATAAAAATCCTTAGCACAGTGCCTGGCACACAGTAGGTGCTTAACAATTTTTTTTTAATTGGAATCTTGGCTTTTCCCAAAAGATGTTGAATCTCTGACCACCCTCTTAAGACCAAGCATTTCTTGAAAGTGTCATGGTCCCCAAAGCACTAGGCCTGGGATTGAGGTGTTTCCTAGCTCTTCATCTATTTCCTCTGCTGGTCCATATGGTCTGTAGCAGTGGTATTGAACTCAAAAAGAAACAGAGGCCACTAACCATAAAAAAGGAACCCTGTGAACCATATATTGACTTAGAAAACCACTTATTAACCTTATCTTAATAAGGTTACAATAAGGATACAATAAAACATATCCTTATTTATTTTGCTGAATATTTCCCAATTACATTTTAATCTGGTTTGCTCAGCACTTGGGAGTTGTGCAGGTCGTATGCAGGTTATTGTTCGACCCCTCAGTATGGCTTTTGCCTCTCAATCAGTCGGGTAGCATTTATTAAGCACCAGCTGTATGCCAAATACCATGCTGCGCATTGGGGGTACAAAGAAAGGCAAAAACAGAAACGAAAAACCAGCCCCTGCTCTCAAGAAGCTCACGATCTGGTGAGGGAAACAGCATGCAAACAACTAATTACAAACAAGATATATATACAAGGTAAATTGGGGGTAGTCTCAGAATAAGGAGGACTGAGAAAGGTTTCCTGAAGAAGCTGGGATTTGAGCTGCGACTGAAAGGAAGATGGGAGGTAGAGATGAGAAGGGAGAGGATTCCAGGCCTGGAGGATGGCCAGGGAAGATACCTGGAGTCATCTCTCTCTCTCTCTCTCTCTCTCTCTCTCTCTCTCTCTCTCTCTCTCTCTCTCTCTCTCTCCCTCTCTCTCCCTCTCTCTCCCTCTCTCTCTCTCCCTCTCTTCTCTCTCTCTCTCTCTCTCTCTCTCTCTCTCTCTCCTCTCTCCCCCCTCCCTCCCTCTCTCTTTCCCTCTCTTTCTGTGTGTATATATGTATATATTATATATACATATATACACACACAGACATACATACACACACACACACACATATATACACACAATATATATATATATATATATATCAGAATCATGTACATTGCTCATGATTACTTGCTCATGGTGGTAATAAGGGGCCCCTGAAGTTTATTGAGTGGGAGTTAGAAGATCTGATTGACATTTTTATTGTTGTTCAGTCATTTCAGTTGTTTCAGGTTCTCTGTGACCCCTTTTGGTTTGGGGGTTGTTCTTTGTTTTTGGCAAATATACCAGAGTGCTTTGCCATTTCTTTCTTGAGCTCATTTTACAGATGAGGAAACTGAGGCAAACAGGGTGAAGTGACTTGCCTAGGGCCACCCAGCTAGTAAGTATCTGAAGACAGATTTGAACTCAGATCTTCCTGACTCCAGGCCCAGCACACTATCCACCTGGCATACATTTTAGTAAAATCAATTTGACAGCTGAGTGGAGGATGGATTGAAGTAGGGAGAGATAGGAGGCAGGCAGACCCACCTGCAGGCTATCACAGTAATCCAGGCATGAGATGATATCTGCACCAGGGGGAGAAGTGTCAGAGGAGAGAAGGGGAAGTATTGAGAGATGTAGCAAAGGGGATGTCAACTCACCTTGGCAACAATTGGTTGTGTTGATCGTCACCCAAATGTTCTTGACCATGCTTCCTTCTGTATGGTTATAGGATTTCCTCTCATGAACGTACCTTCTAACTAGACAATTCTATTCTGTTCTCCCTCTCCACATTTTTGCTTTTACCTGCCCTCTTTTTTCAGTCAGGTAGACATGACTGAAATGACTCCACGACAAAAATGTCCTGCCATCAAGCCACAGTGATACCTATGAAATCAAATTTACTTCTTCGAATTAAGACTTTTAGCTCAACTTACTAGTCATAGTTGGTGCATTTGTCAATGAATATATATATGTATATACATACATAAATACATACATACATACACACATATTTACATATATTTGAGGCTGTGAATTTTATTACTGATTCTTTTCTCAGATTCTCGGTTCCTTTCCATTACTAGACCTCTCTCCTGTTATTCTTCTTCCATATTCTAGTATTCTTTATTTCATCTTACTTGGCAGGCAACCTTTCTTTTCAGACTAAACTACTTTTGGTTACATTTATAAGACCCTAGGCATAGAAATTTTTACTCACCCATTTTAGGTATGCCACATTTTTAGCCAAGGGAATCTGAATCCTGTTCTCAGGTGTGATTTTCTTGAGCAGCTGTTCACTTCAGTTCAGTAGGAGGTAAACCAACTGGGTAGCTAGGAGAAGGAAAGATATCTGCTAGTCTGAGACAGGAATCAGGCAGAGGGATACATACACTGGGGGTAAGTTACTTTGCTCATCCTCCCTCATGGGTGAATCACTCGTGCCCTGGTGAGGTTTTTAAAGGTATAAGCAGCAGAAACTGGACAAATAGGATAGCTGTCTTGGGCTTCATGTTATAACTCCTGTCTTAATTAATCAGGTTATTTAAGCAAGTATTTTTCCTGAAGATGTAAGATGCCTTTCACCTTTGAATCATGTGACCCCTCCCCCTCACTGCCACCCCCATCCTAAACACTAAAGCCTCACGGGAATGCCTAACAACTCACACAAATGAGTGGCTCCAGGCCTCCATGCTCATTACCAGTCTCGCTATAGCTTATAGCTTCGGCTCTTAGCTGTCTAGGTCATGGGCTCCTCCAGTGGGTAATTGACTAGAAGTCCCATTCACAGCCATTGTTCCTGTCTTAGAATGAGTCTGGCAGTCACATGGGTCAATTAAGTAAGAGAGAAGGGCCTCCCTGTCCATTAAGGCCAAACTTTCTGTTTTCTTCCATGGTCCCCGCCCTCTCACAGGGGGCAGCCTAAGATTTTCCTAACTAGGCCACTGCCCCAGGCTCCTGCAAAGGGAGATAGCAGATTGTGGAAAGCTGACTGTCTTTCGCCTGACGGTCATTCTTTCTGCTTCAGCTGGAACATTTCCGAAGTCAAATCATCGAAGTCATCTATGGCCAAGGGAAACTGCCCCAGTCCAGGATCGTCACCAATCAGCAGGTGAGTCCCGCTTCTGATGACAGGTCCCTCACTGTCTGTCAAACATGAGTGACTTCATCCCATTCTGAGAAAATATGTCCTTGTTTGTGCGGCTGGCACATCATTTTCTCCATGTCGTTACAACGGAAAGATTTGTTTTGATTTTGTAGGATTTCTGGTATTGAAGCAAAAGTCTGAATGTTCTCACAACATTTCCATAAAATACTCATCCAATTTCTTGGAGACCAGGTGTCAATCTCATGTGATTCACCTAAGTAATTTTCCGCCAAGGAGACTCCTTGCTACGAGATTTTTTAAAAGAGAGAAGAGGGGAGGAGAGAGGGGAGGGGAGGAAGTCCCAGATCTTTTATTTCATTAGGATGTATGAACTTCTGATGTAAAAACTTGCTTTACTGATTCAGACGAGCATTTGAAACTTACAGGTTTTTTTTCTTTCATTTATTATTTTATTTTTCCACAATTACATGTAAAAACAATTTTTAACATTTGTTTTTAAAATTTTGAGTTTGAAAATCTCTCCCTCCCTCCCCAACCCCCCTCATTGAGAAGACAAGCAACTTGATACAGATTATACATTTGTAGTCAAGCAGAACCTATCTCCATATTAGCAGGGGTTCTTTACTTTTTCTGTATTAAGGACTCCTTGAACAGTCCAGTGAAGCTGATGGACCCTTTCTCAGAATATTCTCAAATGCTTAACATAAAATATGTAGATTTATCAAGGAAATCAATTAAACTGAAATACAGTTATCAGATTTATTTTTTAAAAGTTCATGGGCCCCAAGTTAAGAATCCCAGTTTTAGAGAGTTAACTGCCACAGAGAGGTTAGGTGACTTGTCTAGGGTCATGTAGCATTACAGTTTGGATTTGAACACAGGTTTTCTTAACTTGGAAGCCTTCAAAAGACTGTATCTCTTGATAGGAGGAGCTTCAGCCAGCCCTTCTGGTCTCCTCAATTATTTCATTCTTGGGATGTGTGGTGTAGCTGGTCAACCTTGATTGTGGCTGTTAGTTGTTACAGCTGTTGTTTGGTCCAATTCTCCTGCTCCATCTCTGTAGGTTGATGGCATAACTTCCTCTCCTAGCAGTTTAGACAAGAAAATTGCCCACACTCAGCCCCTGTCCAGAGGATTGGATCACAGGGCAGAGATGCTATATTTCCCTTGTCATGCATGGATTCCATTTGCTAGCCAGCCACTGATCATACCCATGCTCCATCCTATCATTTAATTTTGTGGCTTAAATGACCATCTTACCAACTTTCTGTGATAAGGCAAAGCCTTTAGAGGTCAAGCATGTGGCAGTGAGCCATCATCAGTCTAGAAACGCCCTGGCGTTATTGCAGGTGTCTAGATGCTTCAGCCAGATATTATCAGTTTGGAGTCTGAGGATCTGGGTTCTGACTCAGGCTCTCCACTTACTCTATGTGTGACTTTAGGCAGCTCACTTATCAGCTCTGGGCCTCAGTTTCCTTTCTTGCAAAAATGAAGTGATTGAACTAGTCGGTCAGTCAAATAGCATTTAAGCATGGCCTCCTATGTGCCAAGCACTGAGTCGGAGTAGAGGATCCCAAAGACCCCTCACTGATCTATATGTAGGACCCTATGAAATGCTACCTTTGGAATCTCCTCCAAACCCCAACCCCCACGGCCCTATTGCCTGCCTCAGTTTCCTCATCTGTAAAATGAGCTGGAGAAGGAAATGGCAAACCACTCCAGTATCTCTGCCGAGAAAACTCAAATGGGGTCATGAAGAGTTGGACGTGACTGAAAAACAGCTGAACCAAAAGCAGCCTTGATTGCAAAGGACTCGTGGTGATCAGTGTCTCCCACCTCTTGTTGGAGAGATGGTGGGTTACATGTAGCATCTGCAGAATGTTGCATACACTGTCAGATGTTGTCATTCTGATAGCCCGCCCCATCTGCATTGAGAGAAGGGAGATACTGGTGATTATCAGTCCCCTGGAATCAAGGTTAGTCTTGACATTCAGTCTCAATTCTGGTGTCATTTCATGTGGCTTCCTCAACTGTATCTCCTATCAGGATGGCTGATATTGATAAATCATATTTCTACAGTGTTTTAAATCTGCCCAGTAGCCTCCTCACATTAACTCCATGAAGTAGGTAGTAGGAGAATTATTCCCATTTTCCAAATGAGGAAACAGGCTCCGAAAGATTATGAGATCATAGATCCGGATCTGGAAGGAGCTTCCAAAAGCATCAAGTCCAACTCATTTTACGAAGGAGGAAAAAGAAGCCCAAGAACGCTCATACAATCCTAGATTTAGAACTGGAAGGGAACTTGGAAGCCATCTAAGCCAACCCCTACATTTTACAGAAGAGGAACCTGGGGCCAATGAAGGTAAAGTGACTCATCTAAGGTAACACAGGCAGTATCAGAAGTAGTAGTCAAACACAATCAAGGAATAAAACAGGAAGGAACCTGCCCCACAACTCACTGCTGAGCAAACTGAGGCCATGGAAGTGACCCAAGTTCACACAGCTAGTAAACAATAGAGCCAAGATTTGAACCTGGGTCCTCTCAGCCCACATCTAGAGCTCTTTCCACTATATACACTAACTTTCAACAGATAGCTCATTTGGCATTTCTTTAAAGTTTACAAGACACTTTCACAACTGAGTTCCTAGGAGGGAGATAGTGCAAATATGTTATTATCCCCATTTTATAGACATAGGAACTAAGGCTTCAAAAGGCGAAGAAACTTGCCCATGACTACACAATTTAATCAGTATGAGAGCCCAGTCTATGATTCCTCCAGTGATGAGTCATGAATCCATGCCAAGTCTTGAGACTGAAGTTATCTTTCTCCCAGCATTCCCCAGTTTTCACACTTGCCCTCACACCTCTCTCAGAACTGCTCCAACTTGACCCATTTTTTGGTGGTTGTTTGTTCTTCCCCATGACCAGCTGGTAGAGACGATCTCCCGTGTCATCCAGGACAACTTCAACTTGCAGCAGAAAAAAATCATCGAGAATCAGAGTAGCTGGTCCACCAGCTCCAGCAAGGACGAGTCCCTGGTCCAAGTGGACAAGCTGAAGGCCTTCTTGGAGGACTGCCAGGTCACTTGTGCCCTTTAGTAAATGCCAAGTTAGTTTAGCTTTTGCTCTTCTTGTTTCAAAAATCATCCTGCTCTAGAGTAAGAGGGGTTTATGGAACAGATTGGGAAGTTCTTATATTGGCTTATTGCCCATAAGGCCATTGAAAATATCAGAGCTGGGAGGGCCCTTAAAACAGAGAATGTCAGAGCTGGGAGGGCCCTTAGAACACAGAATATCAGAACTGGAAAGGACCTTAGAACACAGATTATCAGAGCTGAGAGAGAGTTTAGAAAATAGGACATCAGGAAAAGGTAGGGAATAAGCATTTATTTAGCACCTCCTATGTGCCGGGTATTATGCTAATTGCTTTTACAAATATTATCTCATTTGATTCTCACAACAACCCTGCAAGGTAAGGGATGTTATTATCCTCATGTTATAGTTAAGGAAATTGAAGCGAACAGAGGTAAAGTGATTTGCCCAGGGTCACACAGTTAGTATGTGTCTGAGGCTGTATTTGAATTCAGGTCTTCCTGACTCCTGGTTGAGCACTCAAGGCACTTTGCCACCTCTATCAGAATTGAAATAGCAACAATAATAATAATCACAACAAAAGCAACTACTGACATTGATACAGAATTTTAAGGTGTGCAAAGACCTTTGCATAGATCCTATAGTCTTTCCCAACACCTTCCTTTCCCAGAAAAGGAAACTGAAGTCCAGAGAGGGAAAGTTATTTGCAAAGTCATAGAGTAAGTAACAAAGCCAATAATTATGCCCAGGCCTTCTAACTCTCAATCCAGTGATCTTAATACTATACCACATTGTACGTGTTTGAGGCTAATTGCCCAGTCAGGCCTAACCTCATCCTATCATATCAGCCTGTTCTCCACTCCAGCAGCTTCCATTTCTGCCACCTACTCCTACCCCATCTCCAAGTCCCACCCTTGCAAAAGCTCATACGGTCCCTTGAGCTAACTACCCCTGGTAATATGACACTCAAACAGCTCTTTTCCTCCAGAAACAGTTAACAACTTATTAAGCAAAGTGGTAAGAGCAGAAAAGGATAAGACTTGGAATGAGGTTCACAGTCCTGTGATGACCTATGTGACCCTAACTGGGCTTCTTCCTCTGTAAAGTGGTGGGATTAGACTAAGTGATCTATAAGGCCTCTTTCAACTCTTAAATCCTATGCTTGTATTCCCCAGCTATTCAGATGTGGTCTGACATTGGATGGTCACTGACACCTAGAATAATCCTGAGATTCTGCTGTTATGTGTATCTTCCCTCATCAGAGAGACTTGTTTGGAAAGAGAAAATGAAGGTGCCTTCCAAAAATCTCAAATTCCTGCATTAAATAAGACGTGTCTGTTGTACAGATGGGCTGGTGCCACCTGGGCAGAGTTTTGATATCTTGCACCAGTGGAAGGACAGCTTCTGGAGCTCACTCTGAAAGCCTGAGTATATGACTACCAGACTGGGTAGAGGTGAATTCTCATCCTGCCTTTGACTTTAAATTTCTGGCACATCTCCCCCAGCAGTATGCCACAGCAGCAAAAATTTGAAAACTTTCCAAATATGCCAAATTGGCATCATGCTCTCAAGTCAGGGAACTGGGCTGAACTTTTGTCAACAGGCATTTTGATGTAGCAGATAAGTAGGCCACTAGATAGAGAACTGGACTTAGAGTTAGAACGGATTGATTCAAATGCTGCCTCTGGTGCCAACTAGCTTTGAGGCCTTGGGCAAGTTCCTTTAATCTCTCTTAGACCTCAGTTTCCTTTTCTGTAGAATGGGGGGGAGGAAGGAGAACAATAGAATAATAGCACCAACTCACAGGGTTATCGTGAGGGCCAAATGAAGTAATATATACAGGTGTCTCCAAAATATCTCACTGCAGCTTTAAGTTCATAAAACTATTAAGGGTTAATAGCTAAAACATGGCAAAACCTAAACTATATATGTTAGGATGCTGCCGCCACCGATGATTTACAGAAATGATCAGATTTGGTCCTAGTTTCTGAAACAAATTCTAGTATGGAAATTGATTTTGGAAATCCATAACTTCCCATAACCTCCCTGGACCTCACTTTGCTGATCTGTAAAATGAGGCAATTAAACTCGATGACCTCTGAGGCCCCTTTCATCTCTCGAGCTATGAGCCCATAAGCCTTCCATAGACTCTGTGCTCCTGGGAGTCTGGTCCCTTCTGCATGGCCCAAGCACTCACTCATTCTCTTACCTTTGCCCAGGCTATTTCCTATGCCTAGGGCTCCCTCCCTCTCTCCCCCTTTGCCCCTAATATCCTTATTATTATTATTACAGTTTTAATAATATCATTATTATAAATTATAATAATTATAATGATTGGTATCATGATCATCATTATTATTACTATCATTGTTATTGAAAATGCTTATATTATACAATGTTATTATATAATTTGTATATTAGAATATATGTAATAATATAACATATAATCTGTTTTATTATATGTGACATAGATTATTATGTTATATAGTATGTGGTATGTTATATATAATACATTGTAATGTTATTTTTAAATAATAATGGCCCAAATTATACAGTACTCAAAAGTTTACAAAGCACTTTCCATATCTCATCTGACTTTAGTTTCATACCAGTCCTCTGTCTTGCCAAGTGTAGAAGCTGAGACTTAGAAAGGTTGAGTGATTTTCCTGGGGTCACCCAGCTAATAAGTATTTGAGGTGAGGTTTGAACTCAGGTGTTCCTATTTCCACATCAAATGCATTGGGCCTCCTTAAAAGGCTTTTATTAAATGCTTCTTGTGTACACAGCACTGAGATAGGCCCTGGGGGACATACGTAGTTCAGAGAAGACACAGTTCTAGCTATGATGGGGAGGTAGAGACTAGAACTGTGATTTCACTGGCATAGGGAAACATGAGGGTGAGAGAGAGAGAGAGTTCCCTGCCAATGCAGGTTGACATCTTACAGTCTGAAAGGTGGCCTAGCACCTCTGAGAAGCTAAGTGACTCACCCAGGGCCACAGAGCCAATATGTATCAGAGGCTTACTAGCTTTGGGACCAGCTCTCTCTGCTCTACCACACTGCCTCTCTAGAACACTACTATACACAGTAAAAGCACAGTAAATACACAAGATAAATGCTCTAGGCCTAACAAAATGCTATGTGAGGTCTGATGGGTAATTCATAACTCTTTCTCCAGGAAGCCTTCCCTGATTCTTCCTAGTCGTTTATAACATTCCCCTTCAGAACATACAAAACATTTTCTTACTACTGTCTGTGCACTTCTCATAGAAGGCTGGGTATTATTAGAACATTCCACAACGGCAGGGTCTGTGTCTTACATAAACTAAGGATATCCCCAAGTCTTGTACATACAGCAGACATTTAAGAAATTTTTTTTGCATGAATAAATATGAGAGGGGGCCTAATTTGACTTTTATAACTCCAGATTACAGTGTAGGGAAAGGACAAAGAAGTCATAGAGAAATCTAGTATAACTAGACAGCCCTCCCAGCCCCCCAGCCCAATTACAGGTGGAGGGGAAGATGCGAAGTCCAATTCCGCAGGAATTCTTGAGGGGCCCTTTGACTCCTGCCACATCCATAACTTCTGCTGTCCCTCACTGTCTCATCTTTTTCAGACTTGCTTGAGATTGTCTTGCTGCGGCAATGACTTGAGAAAGCAGCTCGGTGACTTTGAGAACCTCTCGGTGGATGCCTCTGTGTTGTGGCTGCACAAAGCCCTCGTGGACATTCTGCAGAGGGTAGTGTGCTGGGTGGAAGAATTCGAGAAGCTCCTGAACAATGTGGGCATCCAGCTGTCTGACTCCGACAAAGGTCCCTGGGCCTGCTGGCTCTTCTTCCCTGTCTTTAGTTTATCCTACCAGTCCTTAGCATGAAGATTCACTGATGTGAACCAATGTATCTATTAGGCCCCTCCTATGTGCCAGGGGCTGGGGCTGCCAAGGCAAAGATGAAACCACCCGCAGGTCCTAAGATCATAGGATCATAGATTTAGAACTGAAAGATACCTTGGAAAACGTCATGTCCAGTCTCCTCATTTTCATCAAGCATTTATTTTCTCCCCACTCCTATCTTCCCTTGCCCCCCAAAAAAGAAAAACAAAATACTTGTAAGGAATCAAGCCAAAAAAAAAGTCCCTCATGGGCCATGTCCAGAAATGTCTCATTCTGCCTGTTTGTCCATTGTCTCCAGGTCTAAACATTCTATGTTCTAAGGTTCCTTCTAGCTTCAATGGCTGTGTTCTAAGGGCCCTTCCATCTCTGACATTCCATGTTCTAAGGGCCCTCCCAGCTCTGACGTTTTGTGTTCTATGTTTGCTGCTAGCTTTTATGTCATGTGTTCTAAAAATCCTTCCAGTTCTGACAATCTGTGTTCCAAAGATTTTTGCAGTTCTAATATTCTGTGTTCTAAGATACATTCTCATTATAACATTCTGTGTCCTAAGGTCCCTCACAGATCTAACATTCTATGCTCTAGGTTACAGCTAGAACATTCAATGATCTAAGGCTACTTTCCAAGTCTAATGTACTACGTGCTAAGGTCCCTTCTAGTTCTAGTGGCATTCTTTGGTCCCAAGAAGTCTTATTAGGAAAAGAAAGGCCTTGGGGGCATGTTCTCCACATTCTCCTTCTCTTGGCTCATTTTGTTTTTACAATCTAGAATGGTTACTCTCTAACCCCTCCAGCCCTGACATTCTGTGTTCTAAAGGCCCTCCCATCTCTGACATTCCATGTTCTATGGGCCCTCCCAGCTCTGATGTTCTGTGTTCTAAGGGCCCTTCTCTGCTCTGACTCCCTCTGTCCCTCCCTGTTGTAGTGGCATCTGACTTTATGAGACTAATTCCAAATCCAGAACAACAAAATATTCCTTAATTTGTGGCTGGTGCATCAGGTCTGGCCATCAAGTGCTGTCACCAGAGCTGCCTGTTAGATGAGACAGTCAGGTTAGCAGAGAAGTCTGAGTTTCCTCATTATCTCTTTTGAGCCTTTCAACAACAGCCTTACCAGGTAGGAACCACAGCATCATCATATCCATTTTACAGAGGAGGAAACTGAGGCCCAGAGAGCTTGAGAAATATCTTTCCCACAGCCAGACAATGAGGAAGCATCAAAGGTGGGATTCGGCCCCAGTTCCCTTGGGCCTCTAAGGCCAGCATCCTTTCCTTTGCCCTGCCCTGCCCTGCCCTGCCTCTGTTGGGCCTTTAGTTCATGAATTCTGCTAGCAAAGGTCTGAGCCATGAAGGTTTTCTTGCTCATCATAGCTCTAACAATGAGTGGTGCCTGGTAGCCAGAAGAGGGAAGCTTGGGACTGAGTTACATGCTAATGCTCCCTGCAGCCCCAGGTTGTTTGTTGATGAGCAAAGAAAGGATTTTTTCTTTATCACTTCAATGTATTTCCTTCAATAACTCATTTGGTCCCTGCCCTCTAATATAGACATTGTTACGCAGACACACTTTCCTGGCATCCAGCTGCCTCTTCAGGAGAAAGGCGTGTCTGTGGGTCAGCAGAGTGTTGCCTGGTCTGTATACATGGCCTGCCACTTCTGAGATGCTCTCACGTGCACCACAAGCTCCCTTCCCCTATTAAACTTCTTCTCTGGCCCCACAGACCAGTTTCTGGCCCTGGACCCTCCCTATTGTCCACATTCTGTGTTCCTGCTCTCAGATTCGAGTGTGGCTGAAAAGTATGACATGGTGGATAGCATCTTGTCTCTGGAGTCAAGACCTGGGTTCGAATCCTCCCTATCATACCCTTTCTTGCTGCATGACCTTAGGCAAATCGCTTAACCTCTCCAAGCCTCAGTTTCCTCATCTGTAAAATGAAAGTGTTGGACTAGAAGGCCTCTGAGGGCCCGCCCAGCTTTAAATCTATGATATGTATAAGGTCAGAAGAGGGCTCGTGCAGCCCCTTGTAGGACATACTAACTTCAGCTGCCCCTCTCTGCTACTTAGCAACGTAGCCAGCCCCCCACCCCACCCCGAGACCTTCCCTGATAACTGCAGGCAATGCTTAGGTCTTCCTCTCTGAACTCAGTTTATTTATTTTCTTTTTCTTTTTTTAAATTTTATTTATTTATCCATTATTTTTAGCCTTCTTTTTTTATATTTTGAGTTCCAAATTCTCTCCCTCTCTCTAGCCTCTCTCCCACCCATTGCTTCATTTACTTTCAATGTTCATTCATCTTAAAGGCAGCATGGTGTAGTAGATTGAGGAAGAAAGAGCCTGGTTCAAGTCTGGTCTCTGATGCCTCCTGACTGTGTGATCCTGAGACAATCACTTGATCCCTCCAGTGCCCCCCTCCAATCTGAGGCAAGATTCTCAAAGAGGAGAAATGAACAAGTATTGATCTGCTTTGCCAGAAGAAAGTTTTTCAGGGGGAGTTCCCAGTAATGACAAAGCCACAGGTCTATCTAATAGTCAGCTGATAGGTGGAGACAGGACAAACAATAAAGTGCCTACTGTGTAACAGGCTCTGTGTTAAGCACTGGAGATAAAAAATGAGACAAAAGACAGTCTCTGCTCTCAAGGAGCTCACAATCTAAATACTTCATAATGAACATAGTGCCTTGTAAATGTTTTTTTTTCCTCTTTGACCCATTGTTTTGCCTAATTATTCAGTACATAGCAAATTTACTAAAATATATTATTTCAAAATGATTTCCAGTATGTAGAGAGGAGCATTTTTTCTCCTTCCTAATTACCCCTTTTCTACTGAACAAAAGAAGAAAAAACACTTGCAGTGGATATGTATTGTCAAGCAAAACAAATTCCCATGCTGGCCACATCCAAAAACAGAGGTCTCATTCTGTGTCCTGAGTCCATCAGCTCTCTGTGAGGAGGTGGTCTCCTAGAATCATGGTTGATCGCTGGGTCAAACAGCAGCCTTGGGTCTTTCAAAAATGTTTGCCTGTATGATGTTGTGGTCATTGTATACATTGTCCTGCTTCACTCTGCATCAGTTTGTACAGGTCCTCCCAGGTTTCTCTGAAACCATCCATTTCATCATTTCTCATGGTGCAATCCATTACAGTCATAGAGCAACATTTATCCAGCCATTCCCCAACTGATGGGCACCTCCTTTGTTTCCAGTTCTTTGCCACTACTACTACACACACTTACACACACACACACACACACACACACACACACATTATATGTATATATATACACAGATACACATATATACATATACATATGTGTATATGTATATACACATGCATATGTATATATACAATTTGCTATCCATATTTTTATACAAACCAGCACTTTTTCCAATGCACTCTACTGCCTCCATTGTCAGACAAATGACATAGAAACTAAATGGAATGAAGGAGTTTGTGGTATAGGGGTCAGGGCTGAACTTGGGACCAAGTGACCTATGTCAGAATAAATGTCAGATCTAGAATCATAACCTAGATCTAGAGGTGGAAGGGACATCAGAAGGCATTTACTCCAACCTTCACTATGCCTCATCCCACTTTGTACTTGTGGAAACTAAGTCCCAGGGAGATGAAGTGATTTGACTTGCGCAGGGTAGGCCAGGAAGAGTGACAGAGATGGTATTGGAAACTCAGTCTTCTGACCTCCATATCTGTGTTCTTTCCACTGGGCCATTGCCAAGTAGCAGAGAGGACCCAGTTGGAGGTAATATGGCCTACCTACCTGTGACCTACCCATACTCAACTTGTAGAATATACATACCTGGTCTTCCTAAGCTCCACAGTAAACTAACCTATTGGGGTCAAACTATGTCATGATTCTGTCTCAACAGGGGGATGCTCAGGAAATCTATAGTGATATTGAGGATATAGAGGTGACGGTGGCTCTAGAAGGCTTGTACTAGGAATACAAGCTCTGGCCAAGTTCTCCCTCCTCTGAAAGCCATTGAGGGCAGCTCTGATATTTTGTAATTGAAGGGCCCTCCCAGCTGTGATATTCTGTATTCAAAGGGCCCTCCCAGTTTTGACACTCTATGTTCTAAGGGCCCTCCCAGCTCTGACATCCTGTGTTCTAAGGGCCCTCCAGTTCTGTCATTCTGTGTTCTAAGGCCCTTCCCATCTTTGGTATTCTGTATTTTAAAGTCCTTCCCCACTGTGACATTCTGTGATCTGAGGACCCTCCTAGCTGTGACAGTCTATATTCTACATTTGTTTCTAGATCTAGTATTCTCTGTTCTAAAGTCCCTTCTGTCTCTGACATTCTGTCTAGCAAAGACCTTTGAGAACCAAGCCAAGCAAAGTCCTGGGGACGAGCATGCTCAAGAAGGCTCTGCACTTGTGATACAAGCTCTGGCCAGATTCTACCTCCCCTGAAAGCCATTGAGTGCAGCTCAGACATTTTGTCACCAAAGGGCCCTCACAGCTGTGATACTCTGTGTTCTAAGGGCAACTCTTTGAGACTACAAAATTCAGAGGGAGGTACTGATCTGCACTAGCAGACAGATTTTCCTCATCTGGGAGTTCCTTAAGTCAATGAAGTCAAAGGTACACACACACACACACACACACACACACACACACACACACACACACACACACACACACACACACACGTACACGTGTAATGTTACTAGACACTCTGTCGAGAAATCCCCCTGAAAGTCCATGATACTAATTATCTTTTTACATCTTCTTGAAGGATTGTCATTGTACTTCAGTAAGTTTCTGGAAAATCATAAGAAGATTGCAAAAAGGAACCAAGAGCTCCAGGTAACGCTGCGTTTTCGTTTCACTTCAGTTCATCTCACAGGGTAGCTATACTACTTAGCACTGGTTTAATCCCTTGGCTGTTCAGAATTGTTGGATGTCTTAGCCAGTGAAGCTACCCCCTCTCACACGGTGATGGCCTTATGGACGTAGCCCAGGAAGCATGGAGCAGAGGGAGTGTGGGATGAGAGGCTTGGATCCGGCACTGGCTCAGCCTTGGACAGATCACTGTCCTGTTCTCTGGCCTTGCTTTCTCCATTTGTAAAATAAGGAGGTTGATCTGGAAGAACTTTGAGGTCCCTTTCAGCTCTCATACTCCTTGTTTTTGTATTCTATGTTATTAGGACTCTCCCGCCTCAGACATTCTACCATCCCACGTTCTAAACTGCCTTCCACCTCTGACACGGAGTTCTAAGGTTTTTTTTCCCTTTCTATATTCCATGTCATATGGCTTCTCACACATGTGTTCTCAAGTCCCCCTTAGCTCTAACATTTTATATTCTAAGGTGCAACCAGCTCTGACATAGTCCTAGGATCCCTTCCATCTCCAACATCCCACGTTCTGAGGGCCCTCCCAGCTCTGACAGCCTGTGTTCTAAGGCCCCTCCTAGCTCTGACATTCTGTGCTCAAAGGGTGCTTTCAGATCTGACCATCTGACATTTTGTATTCTAAGGGACCTCTCAGATCCAGCATTTTTTTGTTCTAAGGAACCTCCCCGCTCTGACATTCTAAGGGTCTTTCTAACTCAGACATTCTGTGTTCTCCTTCTAGCTTTGACATTCTGTATTTTAAGGACCTTCCCCACTGTGACATTCTCTGATCTGAGGACCCTCCTAGCTGTGACATTCCATGTTCTATGTTCCCTTCCAGATCTAATATTCTCTGTTCAAGGCCCTTCCCATCTTTGAGATTCCATCGTCTAGGGCGACTAAATGGAACAGTAGATGAAGCACCTGGCCTGGAGTCAGGAAGATCTGAGTTCAAGTCTGGCCTCAGACACTGACTAGCTGTGTGATGATGGACAAGTTACTTAACCTCTGTCTGTCTCAGTTTTCTCATCTATGAAACGAGGATAGTAATAGCACTTCCCTCCCAGGGTTCTTGTGAGGATCAAATGAGATAACATTTATTAAGTGCTTAGCACACAGTAGGCTCTATATAAATGTTATCTGCTGTTAGTAGGGCTCTACTGTCTCCAATGTCCTATGAGAAGAAGTACAAGATCCGGAAGCTCTTTCATTATTAAACCCAACAATGCAGGAGCATACTTAGGCTATGGTCCCCCTGGCTGTTCTTCTCATTGAGCCTGGGCACATTTCCTCCTCTTTCAAAAGAAAGTTCACCAAATAAAGTTAGCTTCAGGAATGTGTGTGTGTGTGTGTGTGTGTGTGTAATTTCCTCAGGAGACAGAAAAGAGGCCCCAGGGGTGGGGGATCGAGGACAGGAGAATGTTACACATCTCTGTCGAAGAGACCTTTAGAGCGTGTTGTTCACCTCTGTCATTGGGAAGAGGTGGAACCGAAAGCCCAGATGGGGAATGATTCTTGGCCACAGTTGGATAACAAATTAGTGACCAAGCTGAGGCTGGAACTAAGCCTACCCATCACCTTTTCCTCAGGTCAAGTTCCCTTCCATTATACTCCTTCGGGACATACACTTGCCCCCAAAATCAATCTCTTTCTCTCTCTCTCTCTCTCTCTCTCTCTCTCTCTCTCTCTCTCTCTCTCTCTCTCTCTCTCTCTCTCTCTCTCTCTCTCTCTCTCTCTCTCTCTCTCTCTCTCTCTCTCCCTCCCTCCTCTCCCCCTCCCTCTTTCCCCACGTTATCACCCTATTATCTTTCTTTCTCATTTTCTCTTCTATCTCTCTCTCATACATACACTCTTTCGCTCCCTTCCTCTCCCCCCACCCTATTACCTTTCTCTCTTCTCTCTCACATACACACATGCACATACACATTCTCTCTCTCATACTCACACTCTTTCACCCACACACACATTTTCTTTCACTTTCTCTCTCTTCTTCTTCCCCCATTCTACTATCTCTCTCTCTTGCTCTCTTTCTCTCTCTGTCTTTCTCACACACACATACATATACATATATACACACACATTCTTTCACACATACACTCTGTCTCACACATATTCTTACACACATACTCTCATACACATTCTCACACTTTCTCTCATATACTCTCCCTCTTTCTCTCATACACACACATATATACATACATACACATACATTTTCTCACACATTCTTTCACACACATTCTCTTTCACATACATACTCTTTCTCTTTGTCTCCCTCACACACATTCTCACACTTTCTCTCTCTTTCTGTCACTCATACACACACACACACACACACACACACACACACACACACACACACACACAATCACGAACAAAGCCAGGAATCAGCCTCTCTGTGTTGGTTACACAGTGGGAACCTCAGCTTGACCCATGGCGCAGTTCACTTCATTGTCTGCCTGGGGTGTGGTGGTTCTTCTTCCACCAGTGCCCATGACCTGTGCCAGCCTCATTCTCCTCCAGGTCAAGCTCAACAACCTAGAGGAGGCTCACCATTCTCTGCTGCAGAGGATGCAAGAACAAGCCTTGGAGCATGAGAGGCAGATAAAGGAACAGATCAAGCAGCTGCAGGAAAAGCAAGAAGAGGAAAACCGGGTAAAGTCATTTCTTTATTATTAATCTTATCCTTTTTGACCAACTTGGCTGAGAGCTTTTCCTCCTATAATTCAGGATATGTACTTAGATGAAAAGTCTTTGGTGTACTTTAATCAGATGCTATGATCAATGAAGAGACTAAATTAGACTATAAGCTCCTTGGGGGCAGGAACTTTTTTTTGCCATTTTTTTTAATCCACTGGGCTTAGCACAGTGCCTGGCACACAGTAGGTGCTTAATAAATGTTGATTGATTGAAGGGACCTTGGAGATCATAGAGTTCAGTCCCTTCACTTTACAAATGAAGAAGCCAAGGCCCAGAGAGGGAAATCTACTTGCCCAAGGGCAAGCATGGACTAAGCGATAGAGATAGGGTTTGAACCCAGGTCTTCAGACTGTAAGTCTAATGCTGTCTCTGCTATCTCCTAGCAGAAGAAGCCAAGAAAAGCAGGTGAAGGGAAAGGCTGATCCTAATGACAGTTGGCCAACTGAATCTCAAGAACAGAGCTAGAAAGTCCTTTAAAGTTTATCCAATGGAGTCTTTCAATGGGTTGAGCACTGGGCCTGGAACCAGGAAAGTGTTGAGTTGAAATCCAGCCTCAGACACTTAATAACTGTGTGGCCCTGGCCAAGTCACTCAACCTCTGTCTGCTTCAGTTTCCTCATCTGTAAAATGGGGATAACAGCACCTACCTCTCAGGGCTGTTGTGAGGGTCAAATGAGATCATTGTAAAGCACTTAGCACAATGCCTGGCACACAGTAAAAGATGTATAGATATAGATATAAATAGATGCAGATACATAAATATGTGTATTAGTTATTATTACTGTTGTAGCACTTTACAAAACTTAGATTCTAGAGAAATGCCAGCTGTCATAGTTTATTATTATTATTGTTGTTGTTGTTGTACATGAGGAAGCAACAATGTGGTGTAAGATCATGGTATTTTGAGTTCATCTTATCCAACTTCCTCACTTTCCTGAGTAAGAAATGGAGATCCATAGGAGTTAAAGGCTGTCCAACCACACCTCAGTTCGTACTAATAACAATAATAGCTAGCATTTATATAGTGCTTCCTAAGTGCCAGGCATTGTGTTAATCACTTTACAATTATTATCTCATCTGATCCTCACAACACTCTGGGAGATAGGTGCTAGTATTATCATCCCCACTTTACAGATGAGGAAACTGAGGCAGAAAGAGGTGAAATGACTCGCCAAGGGTCACAGAACTACTAAGTGCCTGAGGCAGGATTTGAACTCAGGTCTTCCTGACTCAAAGTCCAGCACTCTAGCCTCTGAGCTGCCTAAGCTGTCCCACAATAACAGTCCGTAGATCATACACGATAAGAAAACCAAAATAGATTATACCTTTTGACCTGCTGATTCCATTACTAGAAATTTATCCTTTAAAAAAATCATGAATCCTCTTATTCTTATGCTGATTCCATTACTAGAAACTTATCCTTAAAAAAATCATGAATCCTCTTACGCTTTACTCCATTCCACATACTCTAGGGTCCAGTGATACTGGCCTCCTTGCTCTTCCTCCCACAAAACACTCCATCTCTCAGTTCAGAGTGTTTTCATTGGCTGGCCTACGTGCCTGGAATTTTCTCCCTTCTTATCTCTCATTCCTGGCTTCTCCAAGTCCCTGCTAAAGTGCCACCTTCTACAATGAGCATCCTCCTCACGCTAGTGCCTGGCCTCTGTTCATTATTTCCTATTTATCCAGCTTATATCTTCTCTCTACATAGTTATTTGCATGTTGTCTCCCTCATTAGACTGTGAGATCCTTGAGGGCAGGCAGATTTTTTAAAATAAATTTATTTATTTTTAGTTTTCAACATACTTCCATGAAATTTTCAGTTCCAAATTTTCTCCCCATTCCTCCCCCTCCCCCCACCCCAAGACGGAGTGCAATCTGATATAGGCTCTACATATACATTCATATTAAGCCCATTTTCACATTAGTCATGTTGTAAAGAAGAATTAGAACCAATGGGAGAAACCATGAGAAAGAAAAAATAAAAAAAGAGAGGGAGAGCAAATAACATTCTTCAATCTGCATTCAAACTCTATAGTTCTTTCTCTGGATGTGGACAGCATTTTCCAACATGAGTCTTTTGAAGATGTCTTAGATCCTTGCATTGCTAAGAAGAGCTAAGTCTATCAAAGTTAGTCATCCCAGATGAGGAAACTGAGGCATGTGAGGTTAAGTGACAAGAGTCACACATCTAGTATCTGAGGCTGGATTTGAACTCAGGTACTCTGGACTCCAGGGCTGGCCCTCTACCCACTGTGGTGCCCCCTAGCTGTTGCCTGGAGAAGTGCACATTCTCTTCCAACTCAAAATCTTCTAAGTGTCCTCAGACACTAAAAAGGCTTCAAACATACCCAAAAGTCCCCATCAGGAAAATCACAAAACTTTCCGTCTTCCTCCTTTAACTAAACCTTTTCTATGAACTTCAGCATTGGGGTGGGAGAGGGGGAAATTCCAGGTATTCTTTATTCAAATTAATTGTATTTTTTGATTCAATTATGAGTAAAACTGCAGGATTATTATTCACCCCAATATACACTATCTCGACCACAAAATAGGTCCGATAGGTCCGAATAGCCTGGGAATCTAGCCACCATTTATAACATTGTTTCAGTGGGGGGAAAAAAGTGTTCTCAGAGCCAAACAACTCACATATTAACCAATTATAGAAACACAAGCCAGGAATAAGTGAGGACAGCCTGGAGTCACTTCCTCCAACCCCTGGCCTTGAGTGAGTAGAAACAATGTAACCAATTTTCCCTGCTCGGTACTTACCTCCCACATTGGTGGACTCTTCGAATTTTTTCCCTAGTATTCACTGTGGTGATTCCCACGTATCAATGACTGTATTAAGCAACTTGACCTGAATCCATTCACTGGCAAGTTGCCTTCTTAATTAGGAATGGTTCAGACAAGTATTTCCAGCATTCTCTTTCATAAACAAAGTTGGACAAGCACCTGGGTAACTTAGCTCCCCTTTCTAAGAATGAGTGTGACTCTGATTTAGGAAGCATTGTATTCTGTTCTGGAAGTCTAAAGATACTGGGTTCTAGTCCTGTCTTGTCCCCTGTCTGTAGCACACTGAGCAAGCCACTGAATCTCCATGGGCCTCAGTGGCTACCTTTTGTCAAATGAGGGGTTGGACCAGATGACCCCTGAAGTCTCTTAAAATCTAATATTCTGTGTTCTAGTGTGCCATGTTCTGAGTTCCATTAGAGTTCTAAGGTCCCTTCCAGCTTTACTATTTGTTTGTTTGTTTTTCAAAGTCTCTCCCAACTCTGACCTTCTAAGTTCCAAGGTCCCCTTCCCACATTCACATCCTAATATGCTAGGTCCTAAGGTCTGGATAATATTCTGTGTTCTAACATTCTGTGCTCTAAGGACCCTCCCAGCTTTGACATTCTGTGTCACAAGGGCCTCTTAGCTCTGACATTGTGTTCTTAGGGTTAGGGTTAAGGACCCTCCCAGCTCTGACATTTTCTGTTCCAAGGCCCCTCTCAGCTTTGATTTTCTGTGTTCTAAGGCCCTCTCACTGCAGACAGCTATGACCTTCATTCACTTCTTTCTCCCTATTGTCTTTAGCCCCCTTTTCCCTGAATATGTTCACACTCAGTAAAAGCTGCTGATTAACTTTTAGGTTTGGAAGAACAATATGACTCAGGAAAAGAACCAAGCTGAGGCTGCTGTGGAAGAAGAGAAGAAAAAAGTCCAAGATCTTGAGAACCACTTAAGGCAACTGAGAAAGGTATGAGCCTGAGAGAGCCAGGAAGAAACCTCTAGCAGCCAGAAGCCTGCCTGAGGATGATAAGCAAGGGGATTCCAGTGCACTGGGCTTTGCTTGGGGTAAAAAGAGGGATTCTTTGAACATAGGAAGGATGGCTTGGCAGATGGAATGCTAGCCTGGAAGTTGAGGTAATTCAGGTTCAAATCTAACTTAACATGTGAGAGCTGTGTGACCCAGGACTAGTCATTTAACCTCCTGGAGCCTCAGTCTCCTCATCTGTAATGTATGAAGAATAGCATCTCAGTACCTAATCTCAAGAGATTGTTGTGAGATTCTACAAAGTGCTTTATAGACTTGAAAGCCTATGTGTGGCTGAAGTTTGTTTGTTTTTCAAGGCTTCACTGATGTAGAGAGTATCTGGTAAGGAATTTCCCCTGTTAATGTAGATGGTGTAATAACTAATATATTTGTGTTGCACTTTAAGGCACTAGGTGGCACCGTAATTCACAGAGTGGCAGGGCCTGGAGTCAGGAAGACCTGAATTCAAATCCTCAGACCTGACTAGCTGCATGACCCTGGCACTCTCTGACTCAGTTTCCTCATCTATAAAATGGAGATAATAAAAGCACTTTATAAACATCAACTCATTTGATCCTCATAACAACCCTTCAAGATAAGGGCTATTATTATCTCCATTTTACAGATGAGTAAACTGAGGCCAAGAGAAGTTAAGTTAAGACTTGCCCAGGTTATGCAGCTTTTTGTGTTTTTATTGTATTTTATTCATTTTGTCAAATATTTCCTAACTGAATTTTAATCTGGTTAAGGCCGCACTCAGGAGTGTGGCATCAAGTGTTTGATAACTCTAATCTGGACAATAAGCATTCTTTATCCACTTGATTTTTCCTGTGTGGATGGTTCAGCCATTCTCCTTTGAGTGGCCATGGACTTCATAAGCAATCTTTCCATTATTTTTTTTAATTAACTGGGAGCAGCAACATTCCTTCTCCCCATCCTTGTGCCTTGTATGACCCACTGCCATACTTGTCTGGCTTTGGAACTGAACCATCTACATAAAAATAGGACAGAGCTCAATACCACCTATGCAGAATTGGAAAAAGAAAAGCAAACAAGTTAGGTCTATTGTTCATTTGATACTTATTGTCTCCTCCAGGAAGTGGAATCTAAATCCCAAGAAAGGCAAGTTTTAAGCTCTCACTTAAATGAGGCCCTGACCATGGTGGAAGAAAACCAGCAGACAAATATCGAGGACCAAAAAGAAAAAGAATCCCTTGCTCTGAGTTTGAGCAAAGCCCTGGAGGAGCTCAGCGAAGCCAGAAAGAAACAAGTAGGTTCTAATTTTGTTTGGTCTGTACAAATGCTGCCTCAATGCTCTTTCTCCCAGTTCTCCTCCTACCTCTCTGACTGAGCCTTCTTGGTCTCCTTGGCTGGGTCTCCAAAGCGCCGTCTTTCCAGTCACTGAGTCTCCACTCCTTTCCTTTCTCGGCAAACAACATCCCACCTCCTGACTCCAAGCATGACCTGAAGCGGTTGTCTTTCTTATTTTCCATTCATTCAGGACCAGTGATTTCACTGGTATAGTGCAGCAGTTCTCAAAGTGTGGTCTGGGGTCCCCTACAGGTCCCAGAGACCCCTTCAAGGGGGCAGTGAGATCAAAGCTATTTTCATAATAATACTGAGAGTGCCCACAGTCAACCTACTAAAAAAGTGTAACTTACAGATGAGTTGCCAGTCTGGTCTAGCACAGGGAGTTTCCATATAGGCAGCTCCCAATCATCATCATCATCATCATCACCTTCATTATCAATCATGATCCTTATAATAACTGACTTCCATGTAACATTTAGGGTTTGCAAAGCATTTTATCAGTATTATCTCATTTGATCCTGGGAGGAAAGTACTGTTGTCATCCTTATTTCATAGATGAGGAAAATGAGGCAGACAGAGGGTTTAAATGACAATAATAATATTTAATAATAGCTAACGTTTATATGGCACTTACTGTGCTAAGTGCTTTTAAAATTATCATCTCATTAGATCCTCACAATGACCCTGGAAGGTAGGTGCTATTATTAAACCTATTTTAAACTTGAGGAAGATGAGGTAGAGGTTTTAAATAACTTCCCTAGAGGCACAAAGCTAGTAAATATATGATGCTAGATTTGAACTCAGGTCTTCTAGACTCTAGGTCCATCACTCTATCCATTGTGCCAACCTTATTAATGAAATGATAAGACTGGACCAAAATAAAACAAAAATTCTGGCTAGATCCTACACTGAAAAGCCTCCATCTAAGAAAAGCCATTTAAGGACCTAATGGTCTCCATGAAAGGATTCCAGAGTCTCGCTAGTCATAGGATGTTAGATGGAGAGTCAGAGACATTTTCATCTCATACTCTCATTTTTAGAGGGGAAACTGAGGCACAGTGGGATAAGTGAATTGTAAGCCCGGCACTTCCTTTCCACTGACCACTCTCACTCTCCCCTTTCCCTCCTAGATCCTTCTGGGGGAACAACTTTTGAAGCAGCAGGAAACCCTGAAGATAGCGGAGGAGGAGAAAAACCTGCAGAAGAGAAACCTGGAGGTGGAGATCATGCAGTACAGGGAGCAGGTCAAGCAGCATTCTCAGACCATAGTCACTCTGGAGGAGAGGCTACAGAAAGTGACGCAGCAGAACAAGGACATTGAACGGAAGATTGTGAACCTCAAGGAAAATATACCAGGTAAGCCGCCCCCTTCAGCTGGACAGGCTTTTATGAAGCACCTACTATTCACCCTGGCACTGGATGGCTCACTGGATAGAGCGCCAGACCTGAGGTCAGGAAGGTCTGAGTTCAAATGTGGCCTAAGACACTTGCTGGCTGTGTGACCTCAGGCAAGTCACTTAACCTCTGTCAGTCTCAATTTCCTCATCTGTAAAACAGGGACAATAATAGCATCTACCTCCTAGGTTGTGGTGAGGATCAAAATGAGATCATATTTGTAAAAATGCTTAGCACTAGGGCAGCTAGATGGTGTAATGGTTAGAGCACTGGCCCTAGAATCAGGAAGACCTGAGTTCAACTCATTAGTTGTATGACCATGGTCAAGTCACTTAACCCCAATTGGCTCCACAAACAAACAAATGCAAAGTGCTTAGCGTAATGCCTAGCACATAGCAGGTGCTATGGAAATGCTAGCTGCTATTATTATTATACAGAAATGAAAAATCATATAGTCCTTGCTCTCAAGGAGCCTGTGGTTTGCTGATCCTTGTCTATATGCACAGAGAGGCAGGAGCCATGGTAGAGTGTGATTAGGCAGTTGGGGGTGTGGGGTTGAGGAGCTACTAGAGAAAAATCTAGAGAAAGTGCTCTGGGAAAATTCAAAAACTTTTCTGCGTGGTTGGAATCCCAGAAGGCTTCAAGGTGGAGATGGCACCATCAGCTGGGCCTTGAAGGCAGGGAAGGATGAGAAGGAAGCCTTCTGGAGAAAAGGGCAATGGTCTGCACCAATATCCAGAAGGGGGAGATGGCTGGTTGAGCTTAGGGGATGACAGGTAGTCTCCTATGGCTGTAGCATAGTTTGTGAAGGGGGAGAATAAGAGAAAAATATCCCTATTGCCTCAAGGCTTCCTTTGTTCAGAGCTGGTGAGCCACAGAATAGACATGAGATGAAAGATCATGAAATAAGACTGAATAGGCAGATGGAGCCAGACCATGGAGGGCCTTAAATGCCAGGATATGACATTAGTATTTTTTCTTAGACGCCATGATCAGGACATCTCTGAAGAGTTCTAAGCCACTAAGTGCTATAGTGAAGACACATGCATTACAGACATTTTGTCAGCCCCTATGTAGAAAATAGTTTGTCAGCCCCTATGGAGAAGGGAGAACCTGAAGGCAGGGCCACTGATTAGGAGGCTATCGAAATAGCCCAGGTAAGAGGTCAGGAATGCCTGAATCAAGATGGCAGTCATTGTGAGTAGAAAAAATGAGATGGATGCAGGAAGGACTGGTGAGATAGAATCAACAGGAATTAGAAATTGTTTGGGTATGGAATGGGTTAAAAGAATGGGAGAAGAAGAATCAAAGATGATCCCAAGGTTTTTAGCCTCAGTTACATCATCTCAATCTTCAGCAGAGATAAGTAAATTTGGAGAATGGGGAGGATTGGAGAGAAAATGTTAAGTCTAGTTTGGGTACATGCTGAGTTTGAGGTGATTAGGAGACATGAAGATGGAGGTGTCCAGAAGGCAGTTGGTAAGGCAGGACTATATTTCAGGAGCAAGATTACAGATAAATAGATAGATTATAGATAGATAGATAGATAGATAGATAGATAGATAGATAGATAGATAGATAGATAGATAGATGGAATATATATACATATATATATATATATATATATAGAGAGAGAGAGAGAGAGAGAGAGAGAGAGAGAGAGAGAGAGAGAGAGAGAGAGAGAGAGAGAGAGAGAGAGAGAAATTCACCGCATGGAGATGATCATTGGACTGACAAGACCTGATGAGATCAACAAGAAAGTATATAAAAATGAGGGCCCAAAACCCCCATACGTATTATGTGGAAGATAGATGATAATCATCGGATCATTGACCCTAGAGCCAGAAGGGACTTCAGAGGCTATTGACTCCAGTCCCCTCATTTCACAGATAAGGAAACTGAGGCCCACAAAAAGGAAACAATTTTCTTAAGATCACACAGTTATGAAGGGATCCAGCAAAGGAAACAGAGAAGAAGCAGTCATAAAGATAAGTAGAAAACTGAGAGAGAGTGGTATCAAGGAAGCCAAGGGCAAAGACACATATCACAGAGGCACGGGGTAGTTGACAGTGTCCAAAGCATCAGAAAAGTCAAGAAGGATGAGGACTGAGAAGGAATCTAGAAAACCCTTCTAAAGTTGATGAAGCCTTGGGCCAGGAAATGAAGACCATAGGTGATACCCTTAGTTAGAGAGGCCTGACTAAAGCTCGCAGGAGAAATGCATAGGGAATTGAAAGGATACCAGAAAAAAAGAGATGGTCATTATTGTTGTGCTGCTGCTTTCGTGCTCATCAATCAGAAAAAAAACCAATGTGCTGTTTTTTTTTTCCCTGAAGGAGATCTTTCTTGTGATCCCAGTTGTGTTCCAGTAACACAATAATCTTGGGAGCTCTTTGTCACCACAAGTTATGAAGAAAAATGACTAATGACTCAGGACATCTTTTGTACAGAGCCAGAGAGCCAGAGAATAGACACAGGAGGAGAGAACACTTTGGATGCTTGGGGCAACAGCAAGAAGAGGAATTATCTTTTCTGCCAAAACTCTGAGCATAGTGGCTTTTCTCTGCTGTCAACTGTTTGCTATTGTGACAAATGCATTTTCAGAAACCAGCCGGGATTAATCCCTCCTTGAAAAAAGGCAAGAAGAAAGAAGAAACTATGGTTTAGGGAAGAATTCTTAATCAAAGAAGGGCTAAAGGTGATCACAAAAGAGAAAGTGGATGATTTAAACTGTATACAGTGTTTAAAGAAAGAAAAGGAAAAAAAACCTTTTGCACAAACAAAATCAATGCAGCAAGGAAAGAAGGGAAAATGTCCATTGAGGTGAATATTTGCATCCAATTATCTGATAAAATTCAGTTCTCTAAATATTTAGGGAATGGATGCAATATATATATAAGACCAAAAGCCATCCCCCAAGTGATAAGTGGTCAAAAGACATGAACAAAATTTTTCAAACAAATTGTAAGCTATCAACAGCCATTCAAAAATTGCTTCAAATTATTAATAAGAAAAATTCAAATTGAAACATCACCTCATTTGTACCCTGAAAATTGGCAAAGATGACAGGAAACCAAAGTAGGCAATGCTGCAAAGACAAAACATGTTGTTGGAGCCATAAATTGGTCCAGTTGTTCTAGAAATTTAATTTAGAATTAAAGAAGAAAAGTGACTAAATTGCTCATATACTTTGACCCAGAGATCCTACTACTGATCATGTACCCCAGGACAGACAGATCCCCCTCAAGTTATACTCATAGTAGCACTTTTTGTGGAAGCAAAAAAACCACACAAAACAAAAGACTATAAACAAAGGGGGTACCCATTGATTTGGGAATGGCTGAATAAACTATGGCATATAAATGCAATGACTGTAAGACATTACAAATAGAGAAATACAGGAAGATTTGTGTAAATGGATGCAGAGCAAAGAAAACAGAAGCAGGAGAACAATATACACAACTATAGTAATGTAAACAAAAAGAATACTGAAATGAAACTAAGCTCAGAGTAATTTTAATACTGAACAGTTTGGGTGTGAAAAAGCAGATTAGGAAACAAAGCACTATGGGTAGGAGATGCAGTGCACACTGATGCCGTCACTGTGTTGTTTTTCCTTAACTGTTTTTCTTTGTTACAAGAGAGGACTCACTGAATGGTGGGATATATCTAGAAATGTCTGTGATGTGAAAAAAGTCAATAAAATAATCTTTCTTACTTAAGAAATAATAAAAATAAATAAAAACAAGAAGGCGAGAATCTCAAGTTGGGAGAACACCAAATGTGTACAGTATTAATGAAGGCCATACTAGTCTAATCTGAAGGCAGAGATCACTAGAAGTAGTTGGGAGAGGAATCAAGGAATTCCTTGACCAGTACTCTGGGATTAGGCCCCTCATTTTGCCAGTGTTCAGTTGCTTAAACAAGGTGAACACATAGTTTATTACTTCCGCTGTGGTGATCAAGCTTTAAAGAGGACATGTCAAGTCAACGAGCATTAATTTTTTCCCACTTAATAGTATTTTATTTTTTCCAGTTTTATGCAGAGATAGTTTTCAACATTCACTTTTACAAGATTTCGAGTTCCAGATTTCTTCCTCCCTCCCTCACCCTTCCCAAGATGGCATGCAATCTGATATAGGCCATACATGTGCAATCATATTAAACATATTTCCACGTTAGTCATTCAACAAGCATTTATTAAGCACCTACTGGACTCCAAGTCCAACAGCTGTGTCATTTACTACCTGTGTAACCTCGCAAGTCATTTCACTTCCCTCAGCCTCAGTTTCCTCATCTGTAAAACAGATTGTACTCTTTGCATGACATCAGAGAAGGATAGTGTGAATAAAATGCTTTGTAAATTTTAAACATTCTAGCAATAGGAGGGGCTATTGTGCCCATAAGGGGCAGTGTGGAAGCCTGAAAGACCTGAGTTCAAGACCCATGTCTCCTACAACCTGATCGTATGACCCTGGGCAAGATATTTAATTTGAGGCAGCTCAGTGGTACAGTGGCTAGAACACTGAGCATGGAGTCAGGAAGATCTAGCATCAGACACTTACTAGCTTTGTGACCCTGTTGGGCAAGTCACTTGACTTGTGTTTGCCTTATTTTCCTCGTCTATAAAATGGGGATAATAATAGCACCAGTCTCTCAGAATTGTGTGAGGAGCAAAGGAGATACTATTTGTAAAGTGCTTAGCACTGTGCCTGACACTTAGTAGGCACTATATAAATGCTAGCTATAATACTAACAGTTGTTAATATTTAACATTTAATATTCAATTATAATAATAATAAGTAGTAGTAGTAGTAGTAGTAGTAGTAGCACACAACTCAGCTAGGTGGCTCAGTGAATAGGCACTGGGCTTGGAATCAGGAAGACTCATCTTCCTGAGTTCAAATATGGCCTCAGACACTTACTAGCTGTGTGACCCTGGGCAAGTCACTTCACCCTGT